CCCCCCCCCCCCCGGCTTGTGTTCCCTCTCTGGCTGTCTCTTTCTCTGTCAAATGAATAAATAAAATCTTACAAAAAAAAGAATCAATATTTGTCAAATAGATCACTTTCCTGTTAACTCAGCTCATCCTCACGGGGCCCCAGTGAGGAAATCACGGCTGCCTTTCACGACGAGGAAGCCGTGGTTGGAGGGAACTTAGAGGGCTCTGGGAGTCAGGAAGCAGCAGAGCTGGGACTCAAAGCCAGGACACTTGCCTCTACAACCCATGACTTTCCTCTCTGTCCTTGCACTGGGGCAAACCTCGTCGGGGAACTTTAAGTTTGGAGTCTAATGTAGTCTCATTAGAGGTGCATTTGTCCTACTTTTACATCGTTGATCGCACATAGCAATTCAAATTGCTTATAATTAGTCACTGGAAGAGAAAGGAACTAAGATTAAATCATGAACTAATGCTTATTCAACACCACCTGGCTAGGCCTATATTAACAAAGCAAGGCCCACGAATGAGGTTGTTATTCTAATAATTTAGGCAAAACCCCTGCTGCTCTTCAATTGTCAGAATAATTACTTCAATTTTTCTTCGCATAAACCAGGATTTTGCAACCTCAGCATGGTTGACATTTTGGGCTGGGTAATTCTTTTTTGTGGGGACCTGTCCTGTGCATTGTGGGATATTTAACAGCATCTCTGGCCTCGACTCACTAGCTGCCAGTAGCACTTCCCCAGTTGTGACAACCACAAATGACTCCAGACATTGCCAAATGTCCCCTGAGGTGCAAGATGGCCTGGTGAAGAACCGGGTATAGCAGACACATCCCAGGCATGGTGCTGGGGGCCTAGTGGACATCTAATAAACAGCCAAGAACAGAGCTACTGGATTTTGCTTTGTGTGAGCAAGAAATATAAAAGGGTAAGATAAAAATGCTTCCTTTCCCCTTCTTAATCAGGATTATGGAGGCAAAGATAAGATTTGCAGCTTATTTGCCAACTGACTACCAAAAGTGTATGGGGTCAGCTTTAGTATATGTCTCAGGCTGCTAACCTGCCTGACGCTTCATGGAAACAGATACTTTCTTCCTTGATATGAGACACAACAATGGCTAAGTAACGCTCACGGTCAATCTCAACATCTTCCTCTTCCGCATCTCCAGTTTTCCACAGGTCCCTGTTTAGTATACTAGAAAACAACACTTGAAGCTCTGACCTCTTCCCACCTCCTACTTCACTGTCTGAATTCAGGCCCTTGGTATTTGTGGCCAGTATTACTGCTCCCAGATCCTTGGCCCACTCCCTCCGCCACCTCAGACCATCCTTTGCCCTGTGGCCAAGAGTATCTCTCTAAGACACCAATTCTATTCCCTATGGACTTCAAGAGCATGTTTCAAAAAGGATCCATGGAATCAAATACCTTTTGGTAATACTATATTAGTCAAAATTTAACAGGATTCTTTACTGTTCTTTCACCAAGCCGATATACACTATTATGTAGAATTCATGATTTACCGAATTATTAAACCCAGAGGACCTTTTCCTGAAAAAGTCCTTAGTATTAATAAGATACATTTGGGGGAACACTGACTTATAGGATTAAATTTAGTTTAAATAACATCATTGGTGTATGGTATGGCCAAGTATTATGCTAAACATTTGAGAAAAATAATTTAAAAAAAATACAAAGTCCATTCCCTCAATGAGCTTACATTCTCATGGGAGAAATCAATAGATAGACAAAATAAAACATGATAATTCCTAGAAGAGCAGTATAAAGAACTACTGGAGAGCAAAGAAAGTCATATCTGAGTTGGGTTTTAAAGAGTAAGTAGGAGTTTTCCATTTTGGAGGCAGAGGAGCAGAATGGGAGAAGATGGACACATTTCAGGTTGCAGGGAAAAGTCAAATTATTCATAAGGCGTGGGGGAAAAGTGGAAAGAGATGAGGCCAGAAAAGCAGGTTACAGCCAGATTGTCAAGGGCTTTGCATGCAAGGAAATAAGTTTGGGCACCAGGTCAAGGTCAATATGTGGCCTTAGAAAATATATAAGCATATAAGCAGAAAAGCATCACGGGAGGAATTGTGTTTTGGAATAGCAACTTCATTAGCAACATTGCAGCCTGTGAGGTCAAAGCAGGAAGGCTAGTTAAGAGGCAACCGGAATAGTTAAACTGGTACCACCCAATGGTCCATGGACCAAAAGAATCAGCATTACCTGGGATCTTGTCAGAAATGCAAATCCTTGGGGCTCACCCTGGACTACTGAATCAGAATCTCTAGTGGTAGGGCCCTGGAAACTGTTTCAACAAGTTCTCCAGGTGATGCTTATATATAAGCTAAATTTTGAGAAGGTCTGATCTAAATTACATATGAAGAAACTTGAACTAAAGCACTGGCAGTGGGGATGATGAGAACAGATTTAGATGTTTGAAGGTAGAATTGACAGAACTTACTAACCAATGGCATGTTGGAGTCAGGGAACAAGAGAAGTTGAAAATAGCTCTGAATTTACTAATTTCGGTGACTAGGTGTGTGGTGAGGCCCTTTAATAAAGATGAGGACTTGTTTTAAGTAGACTATAACAAGTTTAGCTTGTGTAGGTTAGGCTTAAGGCTCCAGTCAGACATTTGGGATAGATGGTCAGTGAGCATTTGGAACATGGAGCTCAGAAGAGAGATGGGGGCTAGTGACAGGGATCTGAGAGTCAGCACCATCTTTGAAATTACATGGGTTTTCCCAAGGAAGTGAAAAACAATGAGAGCCATGGCCAGACCCTGAAAAACACTGACATTTAAAGAATGAATGGAAAATTTTAAAAATAAATAAATACAAAAATAAAGAATAAATGGAGTGTAATGATCATGGAGACATAGAAAAATAAGAGAAATGTGTCGCAGATCCATAGATAGAGCCCATTTTCCTTTATGCAGTCTAAAAGGCCTCCTGTTAAGCTGGCTGACTCCCTACCCAAATTCCTTTCCTTCACCTTCCTCACTACATGCCTTACGCGTCTGAAGTTTCCAGCATCCAGACCAACCACACCCTACTCATTGTTACCTCAGGACCCTGTCAAGGCTGTCTTCATTCACTGGAATGCACCATTATTGACCTATCTTCACTACCTCATTTCTGAATCTCCCCTTAGCTCTCACAGCCAGGATTAACTATTCTGCTCCCTGGTGTTTTCCACCACAAGTTGTATCTGTCTTAACACTTGAAACATTGCTGAGCAATTGCTTTTTTGCTGTTTTATCTGATAGAGGGCCAGAGCTATAACTTATTCATCTTTTCATCTTCCAAAGAACCTAATATAAGACCTAGTTGAGATTCAATAAAAATTTACTACATTGGTGTAAGAACGCATGAGTCAGTGATCAGATGGATGGATTAAATAAATCATAAAGAATTGATGAAAAAAAAGACCAGTATAGTATTAAGGTCTTTTCCCCTCGGGATCTTCTGGGTCCTGCTGATTTAGGGGCTGCTCAAATGTTGCATCCATTGGCAGTTCACTTATTCCTTCTTCTGCGCATGCTCTCAGGATTTACCTCACAATCACTGCCTTGTTGGAAAGTAAGCAATAAAGGGGACCTAATATACTCCCTCTCCTAGAAGCATTTGCATAGACATGGTGAGAATCTCTAATTGAAGAATTTCAGACTGATATGGATGTATTTTGGGGTGCTGAGTGGGTTCTTTAAATCATCCCACATAAATGATTCTCTACCAAACTAATACCAGGATGTTCTAGAAATGAAATTAGAAGTTCCACTTTATGGTTATTTCAAAGCCTGAAATAAAAGCAAAGTAAAACTGTAAGAGAAATGTTAATAATTATATGTAAGTGTTCAGCATGAAATCTGAATCTTTCAAAAATTTACTTTAGGAAATTTCATAAAAATGGATGGTAGAAGAGATCTTATCTGAAATATTTCACTATAAAAATATTTCATTTATTTCCACCCATTTGAATTCCATTCTGTTTAGATATTTAACATTTGATAGTTTTAAGAAGGACCAAATGGCTTGAAGTAACAACTTTCCACAAATTCATAACAGCTCTTCATCTGGTCACTGAGCTGAGAGCTGAGCCGGAGCCTGCAGACTCCCTTCAATATTGGGTTTCATTCCCTCCATCTTGTGCAGGCCGCTCTCAGAGAAAACAGCCAAGAAAAACAACCCAAGCACAAACGGCTGCAAATTGACTTGCAAATGTACAAATTCAGACCAAAAAGTGAAACAGGAAATCTTCTTTGAAGGGTAATTATCATAATTTATAATGGGCAAATCTAAACTCTTTCCAATATTTCTCTAAACTTTCCAGTGACTTCATTGCCCATGATTGGGAAGTTTTGCCACTTCCTTTTTATGTGTATTTTGAAAAACTGCATAACTCCTCAAATACGGGCAATTATCTCCATGACCTATAACTCAGAAACTAAATTATACTTCTTTCCCATTGGCACAGATTAATATTAGGCCTGGTAAAATAATTTGTTTACAAAAAAAAAGAAAAAAAAAGGAATCAAAACAGCCAAGATATGCCTGGGATAGGCTAGGTACTAGGGAATTTATATTTTAAAAGTTCCTGTGATTTCAAACGTTAGCTTAGCTTTTCATAAAAATGAAATGATGAAATAGAAAAGATATATATTAACTCTAAAATAACAAAAGAAATTACACCTCTGATGAATATAGTTCAGTTCAGTATACTATAATACAAAAAAATAAGTAAAAATGTGTCAATTATGAGTTAGTTTGCTATATGAGGAAGAAATTAAATGATTGGAAAAAAGGAACACTTAAAGCCACCACTTTGAAGCCTAGATTATCCAAACTGACTGTTTCCATTGACAGATTAAATGATGTTGCAACATTAACATTTCATGAGAAACCTTATAAGCACACACTTTAGAAAATTATGATTGCTGAACTGAATAACAGGCATAAAACATATAAAACAACTCACCCAGCCCCATATGGCTATTCTTTTTTCATCAATGAAACCCATTTCTATGAATTTTCTAAAGTAAAAGAAACAAATTTTTAGAATTTTAAATGTGTACACATGACATTTACTTCATTACACAAGCATATTTAATCCAAAGATTTAATAGAAATGCTCCATTTTCTTTGTTTAAACACATGCATAATAACACTGCACTTACAAATAATTAAAAGAATATTATCGTGCTTTCTGCAAAGGATAAAACGGATCCTTTAGACTCTACTGTACATCTGTTGAGTAGTACTTCTAGGGCTGCGGGTCTAGCATCCTGACTGTGTGAGCGAGTTACTTGGGACTCAGAGAGGTCAAGGCCCAGGCTTACAGTAACACAGGAAGTCATAGCATCATGACTAGGACCAAATTTCCAAATCCCCAGATTTGAGGAAAAAAAGATTTTTGTTGTTGCTGCTTTAAATTTTATCAATCTTATTAAATGCTTAGATCTTAATGATAATCACCACTTGTTTGGCATCCATGGAATAATATCCATCCCTCTCCCATTTCATACTTAGGTACCCTCAATTTATCATGGTATGGATAATTATGCGTGTCTTTTAGGATATGGACATGATTAATTTGAGTTCCCTCATAGAAGAGCCTCCCTTTGAAAACTATTTTGAAAATAAATATCTTCTTAGGAGCAAGGGACCATGCTGAAGGGCAACCTTTAAAAAGTCATGGGAAGCCCTCAGAAATGCAACTTTGCAAAGCTGGTACGAGATAGGAATGTTTTAGGCTAATTTATCCCATGCCTCCTTGAGGGTTGGTGTTCTAGAGCAACTGTGATTTATTTTGGGAACGGTTTGATTCCCAAAACTCAGGGAACTCTAAGAAAACAGAAGCAGTGGAAGAAAAAAAAAAATAAGGGGGATGAGCCATTGCAGAGACCAGGATGCGACAGTAGCAGGAAGGAGGGGAGGATAACAAAGTAACACACAGGGAGGCAGAAAAATACGATTTTTTTGTTCCCTTTAGTTATGTTAATGCCCCTTCTCATTCTCTGGAAGTAAAATGGAATGGTTTTATTAGTTGAATAATGGAGTTTCTTATAGGGATTTCACAGCAACCATTTTGCTCGTTGCATTGATTCAACATGCACGTTTCCAATGCACAGAGGAGTTGGGCAAATGCCCGGGACCAACAGATGGGAAGAAGCCCCGTCAGTCACAGCTTACCCTACACCGATTCTGAGGGACACTGAGGAGTCTACGGGGAAGAAATGCAGCAGCAAACGGAAAGTTGCTACCTGTGTGGATGCTGTTCATGGTAAAACAGAGAAAATGTGCAGCAAACTATGGCATTTCAGCAATTCTTCCATTAACTTCAAAAGCCAAATAAAAGAGGAAAAGGTTCACTTTCTTTGTTAGAAAAAAAAAATCTTTCCACTACCGCTGGAAGACAGTTCTGAGCCATAAAATCAATTTCGATTTTATGATCTCCCAGAAGCTAGCAATCATATTGCCTTGCATCTGGGGTAAAAGCAAATAGCAGGTAATACACGGGAGCAGGAAATTCTTAACAGCTCCCTTCCTCGCTTTATTCTGGAAGGATGACATTTACAAGAAATGATAGTGCAATAGTTAACATGGAAATGAAACATTAACACTTAATGTGGCAGGACTAGGTTAAAGGTTAGCTAGATAATCTGAGCACTTCCAGGCCAAAAAGGCTCCATAAAATTTACCTCCAAATTCTGAAACGCTCTCAGAAGGGTTATCAGAAACACTGTTGATAATGTGGTTAAATAAAGAAAAATGTTAGTAACAAATGAAAAAGCATTTTGGAGGCTGGACTGAACTTTACAACTTTTCTCGCATAAAAACGGCCCTAGACCAAAGGTCAATTTGGAATCCTAGGGATCAATTATTATTCTATTTTGGAATTGTTCTTATTGATACCATGTATAACAGTATGATATGATATTTTCTCACCACCAAACTTCTAGTTATTGTGGGAAATGTGGGAATGTCAAAAAATGCCAAATATACCCCAAATGAGTAGAACTGACCCTATAACTAATGAAGTTTTATGGGTCCCACTTATGTACCATTTGCAGGGAAGCCTGATGAAAACAGTTCCCAGTTTCACTTACGCTTTGACCTCACAAGCATCTCCTTTGAAGCATTCTCTTTTGTGTAGTCAAAGTTGTGAGGTTGTCTGGCTGCTGCTGCTGCTTCTTCTTCTTCTTCTTCTTCTTCTTCTTCTTCTTCTTTCTTCTTCTTTTAACCCTGCTTTGCTTTGTTTAAATCTATTTATTGATCCTGACTAGTATTTACTGCTGTTTCCAAATATGCACACATGATTTCCTTTTGGTATGTAAAAAATTTAGCCAAATTGCATTTTATATGAGATTGAAGGGGACACATTTTATTCTTTTGTGGGAAGGTAATTTGAGGGCGACCATAAAGGGATTACAATCCCAATTCCCATGTCAGACATTCAGTGTCTGATTCCTAAAACACTTCTTGGCAGACATGTGGTTGAATTATTCCCAGGATAATCATTATAAATCTATCCTTTTTAGCTTTTGTTTTCTCAAAGCATCGGGTTCCAAGGCGTCCCTTTCACTTTTGCAGAATGATGCTTTCAAGCAAAGCAAGGCCAGCCCCCAGTGCATCTCCACTGTTGTGTATATGCTTTGCATGGGCCACACAGCCACCCTTGGTTCACTAGGCTGTTTACTAAAAGTTCCATCTAACAGCAATGTCATCCCTTCAGAGTGCGGGGTGGGCGGTGGGGGTGTTAACCGTTTTACAAGGATTGTAAGTGCACTGGAAGTAGAAATTGTAAGTTGCACAATTTAATACAGAGTGGATTGCAGTGGCATATATTAATATTTGATCCGTTGTTGTTCAATGGCTGAGCAAATGAGTGAACATATGCCTGCTCTATAGCAGGAAGACTTTCTTCAGATTCCATCCTAAAAATGGCTCAGAGAAGGTAAAGGTAGCCAACTACTGCCTCTGGTCTATCTTCAATTTTAAATGCCAAAGACATTTATATTATTGTGAAAATTGGTACAATTTGTGGCTTCATGTCCTATATATTGAACATCAGAAATAACAATTTTCGTTAAGGCCTCTCCATGGGTTTCAGGTTTGAATTTTCATTCCATCCAAGAAACACGATAAGAAGCTATCTGTTCTGTTTCTTGAGGTATTCTTAAATTCAAATGCTGCAATTTGGGTTGTAAATAAATGCACTCAAAGCTATGATGATGTATTGTGCTGTCATCAGTAGATTGCGATGTGATGATGATGATAAGTTTGTTTTTCAACCAGTGCCAAAACAAACCACTTTTTAGCTCTACCAACTTTGGAAAAATCCAGTTGAATTACAAATGAGGTGTAATCCACATCTGGCTTTTTTTTTTTTAAAGATTTTATTTATTTATTTGACAGAGAGACACAGCGAGAGCAGGAGCACAAGCAGGGGGAGTGGGAGAGGGAGAAGCAGGCTTCCCGCTGAGCAGGGAGCCTGATGTGGGACTTGATCCCAGGACCCCGGGATCATGACCTGAGCCGAAGGCAGACGCTTAACGACTGAGCCACCCAGGCGCCCTCCACATCTGGCTTTCGATGTAGTCCCATGGTTGCATGCCCTTGGTGTTTATTGCATGGTTTAAGTACAAATAGATGTGACCCACAGTACCAAAAAAAAAAAAAAAAAAAAAATCCTTAGAGAATTAGGTCCAGGGGTGCCTGGGTGGCTTAGTCATTAAGCGTCTGCCTTCGGCTCAGGTCATGATTCCAGGGTCCTGGGATCAAGCCCCGCATCGGGCTCCCTGCTCCGCGGGAAGCCTGCTTCTCCCTCTCCCACTCCCCCTGCTTGTGTTTCCTCTCTTGCTGTGTCTCTCTCTGTCAAATAAACAAATAAAATCTTAAAAAGAAAAGAATTAGGTCTATAACACTGACAGCGGTGTTCATATTTCCATCAAGGCACACCATAGTCTTTCTGTGAGAAACTGATCTCTTGGTAGATTTTTCTTTGAGTTATCTCTTCTATGCCTCTCCATCAGGCAGAAGATTCTCCTAAAGAGGTTAATAGCAGACAGGCCAAAAATCTGGATCAGCAGGAAAGATGGAGCCTCCTAGAAATTAGGCATGCATAATGCCCACAGATTGTGCAGTGTTATTTAATAATCTACTTATTTTTATTTGTCAGATTTTACTCAAATAGACTGGTTTTAATTGAATATTGTATATAAGTGTGTGTATATTACTGTTCACAGAATGGAAGGAAGATTTGAAAACATATGGGTTATGATTACTTTCCCATTTTTAAAAATAATTACTTGTGAGTCTAAACTCTTTTGCTGTTATTAGAGACAAAAATACAGAAAAGTATTGTCTGGGCCTAGCTCCTAGCTGTCAAATTCAATCTTCATTGTGTGTGTTATATTGAAATCAGTAACTATTAATGACATTAAGATGATCAAAGGAATTTACTAATGAATTTTCTAAATTGCTCTTTGCTGTGAAACAGTGTTTGAACGTAGGCCGTTACACACACATATACATCCATGACTAAGTGTGCAACTGGCCTGTGTTAGCTTTTACATTTATAAACTACTGTTCTCTAACTTCACATATGCACAACATAAAAACAGAAACCCAACAACTGTAGAGAAATATCCAGAAGAATCCTGCAGAGTACTTGCAAATAAACAACGATTTTGGTGACTATATTCCTTTTGTTTCAGAAAAGATGGTGGAGACACAAATTATGGTTGAGAATGTAGTTGGGAAGAACTCAGATTATGAGTCTGTCTTTCCTATGAATGTTTTCATAATATAATTTGTATTACATAAAATGAATTTTTTTGTCAAATGAAAACAGGAAAACACTTTCATACTAACACAGCCAAACTTCACAGCTAGCTTAATTACAAAAGAATGCCTAGTATCTATAAGGACAGAGTGTTGATGAAATCTTGAGGCATTTCTTAATTTATGAGCTAGAATCCACAACGCTTGAGCAAATTCAGATGTTTGATTGCCTATAGACCATCCCTAGAGTTATACAATTTTTTTGTGTGAACCATGGGAATAAATGAAAGGATATCAGAATGACTGAAATATTGAAAGAGAGTTATTTGTCATTTATCACTATAAATCATGTTTCTACACATTTATTAGCTCTTTTCCATCGGTAATTCTTTTCTCATATTGGGCCAAAATATCTCTTTAAGATTAATGGTAACTTTAAATGAAGTGAGGAAAATAAACAAAAAGAATGAAATCATTAAAGATGGAGAAACCCAACAATGATTGCATGACTTTTGTTGCACACCAATTTCTGTTTGAATGAGAAGTGCTCACCTGACAGCTGTGATCTGGTCCTCAACTTCATAAACACCCAGCTTTCGATATACTGCATACAGGAGTCTGTCACCTTGGAAGGCTGTTCCTCGGCCATCCACCAAGGCAATGACTATCCCCTCCTTACTTGCAAGATAAGAAATCCAACTAATAGCGAATACAGACCTTACGCTCTGACTGCAAGGACCACCATACCTAAAGGAAAAAAAAAAAACACAACAGAAAGAATCTTGGATTCCTTGGTAAAACTCAACTTCACATCATGGCTAAGAATTGCCTTTAGTATTTCCCAGTACATTTGCATGATAAAATTTCAATAACAGTGGCATTAGAACTGGCTCAAAATCAAGAGAGGACCAGGCTTTTCCCAGAGGTTTGCTACAAGGAAGTTGTTTTGGGACACAGCCTCTCCTATTCCCCAAAACGGATACATCTAGGGTTGGCATTTCAAGGAATATGTGTGGGTTTTTCGTCATTTCTGCCACCTGCCACTTGCTAAAAGCAGGCATAAGATATACTAAAAAAAATGCATGGTGTTTTAAGCAAATTGTGTGTAGGTCAGCACTGATTTTGGGTGTGATTCCACTAAATGTATTCCATTCCCTTATTTCATTTCTAACTCACTTACATAAGACATTAAGATGATTTACAATATTTTTTGGCTGCAATTTCTCTATCTCAAAGGTATTCTGACACATTCGGCAATTTGCCATACAAAGGAAATTCAAGACAGCGAATGCAAGCCAGTCCATCTAAAACCCCCAAACTTCCTCAATCTATTTTAAATAGCCATATTTTATTTACTCTGATTAGTTGAGGAATATATAAAAACAGCATCAATAGGAACTGTTACCAAGGAGAATGGTTCATTCTATCTCATAAATGTGTATTTAATTCAACATATTTTCAGTAAATAGTTTTTACACCAAAGAAAATATTACATACACTTGAATTAGCAAGGGATACTTCTTTGATCTGTCAAATTGAGGAGGAAGAATCATCTTGTACCATAAAGCTTGGGGGAAAAAAAAAGAAAAATCTTCATTCCACTATATTCATAGCATATAATTTATTTTCTTTAATAACAAGATAACATAAAATTAATTCATAACTAGTAAACTAAAAAATCAAGACTATATTTTAAGTTGATTTTTATTACATATTTTTGCCAAATTTATAAATTACTAGCAATCTTGAGTTATTGTTTTTCTAGAAGCACACATTCTAAAATTAAAATTAGATAAACTCTTTTTAAAAAAATATCAGTGTTGAAATGGAGCTACAGCAAAGTATAAGATCACCTCTATTTACAAACATATTAAAGATCTTTTGTGAAACTCTATTGTTACAGTAAGATTGTTTTACTTAAGACCTTTAATATTATAGGGTTTGGACTATATTTACCCTATACTTTTTTTTTTTAAAAGGAAGATAAGTGTTCAGCTTCATATTTGTAAATGAGAAGTTTTTAAAAGATCTTACTAATGTCATCCACTTCAAGTTTCTTAATTTCCTCTTTAGGCAGCTGGATATTTTTCAAGGCATTTTCCAATTCTTTGTTTTCTTCCAGGATTTTAATTTCTTTAAAAAAACAAAATGTTCATTTTCAATTAATAACATTCCATAAGAAAATTCCTTTCTTAAAATTCTTTTGGGTTTAGTATAGATGAAACTGAAACTGTATAAGGAACTGTATAAGAAATTCTATATTGACAAGCATATTTTTAACCCAGCCTTTAAAGCAGGTATGAGTTTATGAGGACATTAATCATTGCCTCCTGAATTGTTCTTTATGGCATCAAAACACATTTTGAGCAGAATCACAGAGGCAAAAATGTTTATTCACCATATTTTCCCATCTCCAACTTTTCTAACATGAAGCTATGACCTGAGTAGGTGACTATTTTTTATCATCTACTAAGAAAAAAAAAGTAGTAGAAGTAAAATCTATATTGCTGAAACCTCAAATTAAAATAGGGGTGCCTGGGTGGTTCAGTCGGTTAAGCATCCCACTCTTGATTTTGGCTCAGGTCATGACCTCAGGGCAGGCTCAGCAGGCAGTCTACTTGGATTCCCTCTCTCTCTCTCCTTCTGCCCTCCCACCCCACCCCTGCTCATGCGTGCACGATCTCTCTTTCTCTTTCAAATAAGTAAATAAGTCTTTAAAAAATAATTAGTTATGTAGTCGCGAAATTTGTTTTTTTAAATTTTCAATGTGTAAAGTCGAATACTCTTTCTGTGACATACTTTTTCTGTGATATATATATGTATATATATAACATTTTATAATATATGTTAATATAGGATATATATATATATATTTTAGAGAGAGGGAAGGAGAGAGCAGGGAGGAGGGGTAGAAGCAGAGGGAGAGAGAGAATCTTAAGCAGACTCTATGTCCGGCGTGGAGCCAGACACAGGGCTCCATCTCACAACCTCTATGTCCGGCGTGGAGCCAGACACAGGGCTCCGTCTCACAACCCTGAGATCATGACCTGAGCCGAAAGCAAGTCAGACACTGAACTGACTGAGCCACCCAGGCACCCCAACATATATTTCTTTTTAAATCTTTTCCTGCTGTACTTAATTAATATAGGATATTCTTCCTTTTTTTGGTAATTGAATTATTGCACATCATATCCCTTCAGATCATTTTTGTCAGGGTAGTTATACATCTTAGTAAAATAACAATATATGCACGCTCTGATCTCTTTCTGTTTTTCACTTTAAAGGATCTTCAAAAAACCTGCTGCTTATATTTGAGCTTAATTATGTTCACACTTTAATCTTTGAAACTGAACAATCCATTGATCTCCTGATGCTGTAGTTTGGTGGTATATGCAAATGGGTTTCTAGCAATTGAGGGTTTTTTTTTGCAAGTTTTATTTTGAACTAGAATTGATACTAGTTATCTTCTAGAGAAAAGTTATAGACTTTCATGTAACATGTAGAGTTTGTCGATTTATTTTTCTTAAAAGAAGGTCTGGATGACTTCTGAGATATGGCAGTTTTTACAAAAGACATCCTGTGATCTTCTTGTTTTTGTGCCTTTTTTAAAAGTGGTCCTTGAAGATAGGGAACTGGAGAAATACTTGTAACTACAGTAAGTTTGCCAAACCATTTCCCTTGTAACTCTCAGTTTTCATATACTCATGGCATTTTGTTCCAACATGTTATATTTAATCTTAGAACAAGTATAGATGTTTTGGTATGAGTTGTATAAGATACATAATAAATTTCATTTTAACTTTGGATAATCCATCACGAAAGAGATACTTGTGGCATCTTAAAAGTTAAAACAAAACAAAACAAAACAAAAAAACCCCAAAAAACAAAACAAAAAAACCCCCACCAAATATACAATTCTGAGTACAATGGAGTCAGCTCTTCATTCTCCTTGTGTGGGTTCTGTGTGTGGAGCTATTACGAATGAAGGGAATCCTGTGTGGAGCAAGTACACAGAGTGACTGCATTATAATTGCTTATTTATTTATTTTCATATTTTACTTATTATTATATTTATTATTTACTTATTTACTTTTATCATTTTACCAACAGGTACCAGAAGTCGGAGACTATACACAAGTGTTGCTAGGTTGGTTAGACTTTGATTTCTCCATTCTTTCCTAGCTATTGAACTTTCCTGATTCATGGCTTACTGAAATGCCAAAGTTAATTTATAGGCTTATTAATGCTCTATAGTCCAGAGAAGCATTAGTAAATTAACTTGGTAGTTTTCCCACCCCTTGGAGCAAAATGGGATTTCTTAGGACTGTCGGCGGTGGCGGTGCCGACTGGGCTTCTCTATGTAGCTTTGCATTAAAAGCATATAACATGGAAGGAGTGCTACCACCCAGAGCACCTTTCATCTTTATCACTCATCATTCTATACTCAGTACCGAGCATACTTAGTACCTAGTACATGATATATATGTAGTATATGCTCTCCATTTATTTGTGGACTCTTCATTATGATGAAATAAAAAAAGAATGATGGATCATGTAAGAATTTTTTTGTTTTAATTATATGAACTACTATATGTTACTCACTAATTATATTATGTGAAGAATCTGTGGAAAAGCTGATAAATGAGGTCATTCAATCAGTTGGGTAATTGTAATGAGCACCTGTTGTGCCTGAAGCAACTAAGCGTCTGTTGGGATGTCTATGTTAAGGGCCTACCCTTCTGGGTTTCTAAAGCACCTGGTTCAGGTCCTATGTTATTTTCAAATGACCTTACCCTACTTTGCGGATAAAATGAAGCCATTGCACTGTTTTCTGCAATGTCTACACACTTTCATACAGTTGCATTAGTAATTTCTCCGTTCTTGCTCAGCACAATGCCAGAGATGAATCTCCACCTGCCCCTGGACTCCATTTTTTCCCAACTTTTTTGGAGACCTCCCTCCTTTATGTATTTGACCCCTTCTGGTCTCCTGATTTCTTCCATCAGCATTTAACCATGCTCAAATGTTTATTATCTTTCAAAAGCAAAATTAAACCTCTATCAACTGCTTCCAGCCATCATCCCACCTCTTTGCTCCACTCCTCAGGCAGACCTATTGAAAATATTCTTCTTACTTACGTCCAATCAAGCCTAAACTTGCTTCCATCTGGCTCCCACCTCCACTGTTTCTCTGAAACTGGTCTGGCCAAGCCAATGGTAATCTCCCTCTTGCTAAATTCATTGATTTAGAGCCGGTCTCACTTCACTCTCTGTAGCACTTGCCACAGATGAGTCCTCCCTCTTTCCTGAGACCCTCTCCTCCCTGAATTCTATGACACCGTACTCTCAAGGTTACCCTCCTTCTGTCCCCCTCTCTGTGTCCGTCATAGGTTCATTTTTCTTTGCCCATTTCTCTTGTTGGTATTCTGCACAGTTTTATTCCTACTCTGTGTTCTTATCCACTTCCACGGTCTTAGTAACCATGGGTTTCATAAATTAATGAATTTGGGAGTTCTTGCTCCTCATCTTCAATCCAATGTCCAGATCCAAAACTTTGTCACTTCAGATGGCTCCACTTGGATATCCCATTGGCACCTCAAGCTCAACATTAAAAACAAAATTCATCATCTCAAACATTCTTTTGGCTGTGAATCCCTCCTTCAGTAAAAAGCATCAGGATCAATCCACTTGACCAAGCCAGACATCCAAGCAGCATTAATCCCTCCTTTATATTTGTGAGTTTTCAGTTTGACGTATCTCTCATTAGGAGACATTTCCTAACGCCCAACCCCCAGATACAGCACCCTGCTTATGTGCTTTCCTGCTCTATTTCCCCCATCCTAATTGTGTCCTCACTGTATTACCCACTCACATGTCTGCATTCCCCATTGATCTATAATCTCCTTGAGGACTTGGACCATATCTAACCCAGTATCTGTTAATTTTAAGGATCTAGTATCTAGCACAGTGTCTGGCTTAATGTGATAGGTGCTTAATAAATATCTGTTGAATAAAGATTTCTGGCACCAAATGCAAAGGAAAATGGGTGAAAAGAAAAAAACCCCTACAAATAAATAGAAGACCCAGCATCCGCTCTAAAAAGCAGCTTATCTGGAAATTTATTAAAGATTCAGATTCTGTAGCCCAATCTAAGATCCACTGAACTGGAATTTCTGGGGAGGACCTGAGCATCTGTATTTATAATAAATATCTCTGGAGAGTTTCATCACGAGGCGAGTTTGCAGAACTGTGTTCTAAAAAAATCATATTCTATTCGAGGGTTAGAAAACATATAAATACATATGAGAAATGAGAGTGACACGAGCACTGCACCTATTTTGTAAGTATTGGGTGAAGTAATAACACTTTTGTATGCGGTACCGAAATTGGTATCTGGCAGGGATAGGAGAAGGGTAATAAGAAAGTGGAAATTCATGCTCTGAAAAAAGGGAGGCTGACCTTTAGCAGTCATGATAAAATGGGAATCATACATTTATGGGAATTTCCATTAAAATAAATCTTTCAGATTTGAATGTAGTATTGCTTTAAAATGTCTCTTACTCAAGGTTGAAATGAGCCATACTGAGAAATACAATCTTTTATTCTTTAAAGGTATTTCATTGTTAGACATGAGGTAAACCAAACAAACAAACGAACAAACAAAAAAACAACTTCAAAATGGCACTAAATTCATAGTCCCTGTATTACAATGCCTGTCCTGCCCAGAGCTTCTGAATTGACTGTTTTTTCTCATTACCTTATTTTCACCTATTTTACTTGAGCCATTGAGCTGGCAGTCAAACTAATCCTGGAGCAGTCTCCTGACTTGTCACCAAAGCTGTCTGGGGAGGATCACAGGCACAAGTCCTGAAGTCCCTCATTGTCCCTCATCTCCATCAACTTCAACCCTATAACGTTGTTCAATAGTAAATCAAAAGACAACGGGGGAACTGCAGGAAGAGTATGGGGGCAATCACACACTCGGATCACTCCTCCAAGAGCGAAGACAGTCATCTTTGATCTGTGAGCTATTTTGAACCAATATCACAGATATGGGATGGAGGAGGACTGTCTTGATAATAGTTGAAAATGGGAAAAGCCTCTAAATTTCAGGGATTTCATTTGTAGCAACAGTGTGATGTAGCTGTTAGAACAAAAAAGCCAGCGTGATAGTCAGACACCCTCTGCTTTGAACTGGACTTAGATCTGTATTTTGTCTCTACTTTGGAATGCTGCATCAAAGCAGGAATTCTTATTTGGGAGGGAGGTTGTACTAAATATCCCTAGTTTCCTTCCAATGCTAAGCTTCTGTGTTTTTTATAAGGCTGACTGCGGAAGACAGCATGAATCCCTGTGACATAACTCATCTGTGTTATGCCAGGTTCTTACTGCAAATAATTATTAAATTTCAGAGGATCAGGTTTGACTCAAAGAATATCCAAGTCTATGTGACAATAAGCTCTATGACCACAGGATTCCATCACAGTTCCCCTTGTTGGTGTGGGGAAGCTGTCTTGCTGCCTCTAGTGTAATATCACCCAGAGTTCAGGATTTCTTTAGAAAACAGCATGCAAGTGAGCGTACCTTGATCAGTGTGGCCGTCATGAAGGGTAGAAATGGGGAGGGCTGGGCCTGTGCACAGGATGAAAACAAAAACATGCTTAAGCTTTAAAATAACACTGAGTTTCCAATAAGAAACTGGTCATATTTGTGATGAGTGTCAAGCTCAAGTATATCTTAATTCTACAGCTGTTTTTTTTTTCCCCATGGAGAAGCAAATACCACATTTTAAGTTATATTTAAACAACACATGAGATCAGAACACAATCAAAGAACAGCTGTGAGAGAAGAGTTGCCTGTGCACTTTTCCAGGAGTGATCCCGAATAGTCCAGATCTCATTACACAAATGGCCCCCAGGATCTGCCATGATACATGGCGCTCTGAGAAGTCATCATGTTGTATGGGCTAGCATTAGTTGTGTCTTTATTATCCGATAATACTTCACCAGCACCCGGATGATACTTTCAGTCTGGCTTCTTGGTCCAATGTTCAGTTTATTTTGGTGGGTGGAACCCAGCATCTTTCCCCCCACCCCATGTAATTAATAGAGGCAGAAATAAATTTGTATAGAATCTGTTACCTGTATGCTGTGGCAGGTGACATTCCCTGGGAAACAGACCCAGAAGTTTTGTGGGCCAGAGATTTTTCTGGGGGTAGTATGAGGATGCTCACTTCCGGGAGAGGAAGGATGAGGTGGTAAGGGAAGGTGGGCTTTAGTGCAGTCAAAACACAAACCTCAGCCGATCCCCCCAGGGAGCTCTGGATGGCCTGCAGAATGGCCTCCATGTACCCACAGGGCTGGCTTTTATACCCCAGATTGGAGCAGTCATCGGATGTGGCAGGGGATGAGAGCGATTCCCAGGGTGGGAGCTCAGCTGTGAGCTGTTGGCGGCCACCAGCACCCTCAGCAGCTCGCGAAATGAGGGATTGGGCCTGGAAGTGGGGGGTTCTGGGTGACACACCAGTGTCCACTACATATTACAGCGTGGAACGCAGGTTCTCTGTGCAGAAACTGGCCATTTTAACAAGATCTGTACATAATTACACACTAATTATCTCCAACTTACTTGAACCACAGGATAAAATAATACCTGGAAATATACATTTTTAAAACTTTTAATTTTTTTTAAGTAGGCTCCACACCCAGTGTGGAGCCCAATATGGGGCTTGAACCCACAACCCTGAGATCAAGACCTGAGCTGAGATCAAGAGTGGGACGCTTAACTGCCTGAGCCACCCAGGCGCCCCTGGAAATATACTTTTAAAGGATAAATTTGCTCTGACAGTCAGTCGATGGGTTAAAAGAAACAACATGGAGCCTGGGAGTAGAGGTTCATTTGCATTCCTGATGCTTCTTTCTTCTTTGTGGAACATTATTAGAGTAGCACCCTAGATCCCAAGCAAGCTGAAGCAGGGGTAGCCTTTTTGATGAGTTCTCAGAAGACCTGGATAGATAGAAGTACCTCCTTCTTCTGCTTTGTTCCTGGCATCTTTCTGCCTGTTCTTGAATGGATCTTCATGTTCTAAGTGGGGCAATGCTGGGGCCTGCAGGGGCCGCCAGGGGTTTTCTAGTTGTACCCATATTCGTGTAATTGTAATTCTGAGTAACCTTTACAGGTGATAAAGCTAATATTTTAATTTCCTCCCTGACCCCTCAGGTGAACTTGAGAGTAAGGAGAAGGGATGCTATTTATTAGGCTGTCTCAAAAAATAATTCTCTATTGTGTGGAGTTTCAAAATTTTATAGAATTTCATTTTCAAAGATTTTCATTTTGACCAGCTTTTCCTCAAAGTTATTAGAAAGGACGAACACATGTTATATTTTTGGTCAGAGTGTAAGGAACTGAAACATGAATCTGAATTTCTTGACTTCCGTCAACCAGCATCCACCCTATGGAATTTTCATGGGTATGCAGCTCCAGGAGTGACAACTAGCATATCTGTTTTGGCCAAATTCTGAGACAGACTAATGACTGGCCACCCTGGGTACAAATGGCCTGAGCCTGTGGTCACAGAGGCATCAAAACACCAATTGTCTGGAGTCCCTCCTTTGCATTACTTCTGTTCCGTCAGCATCAGGAAGAGAATTTTTACCTATTTGATCCTATTATCTGGGATTTACTCACCATCTCTTGGAGAGTTTGAAGTTACATAATGAGGCTTTACTCTTAGTCCTAAAGGGAAAGATTTCAAGGTTTTTCTTATGATGGCTCAGTGACTCATTTTACTGGAGCTTCAAAAACACCAGACGATGTGATGCTTCCCACACAGTATATTTTTTGCTAAATGGGAAATTACCATACTGCCGAGCAAGAGTGAGTGTGGAAAAGTCAGGCGATTCAAGTTCTAGAAAGGACTCTTCCACCAACTTTTGAGGAGAGCTTAGTCTTTGCTTCCTTATCTTTTCAGTGGGCACTCAGACTCAAGCAAATATAAGAAGACAAAGTGATATAAAAAGTGGCAGAGTGCTTTCAAAAAGGGTTGAAGCATCGTACAAATGCAGAATGTGTATAAACATAAATGAATGTATGCAAGTGTAGGGTCACTGAGGTCTCTATGGGTAAATATGTCAGGATAAGAACAGGTTTTTTGTTAGGCTTTGCAAAAGGCAATAGTGCTTTGATCTTCTTTAGCACCGATGTTCATTCAACAATTATGCCTTATGTGTAATTATTGTGCAGTAGCCATTTTTCTTGGCCTTATGAATGTAAAAATGAAAAGAAAGCAGCCTCTGCCTTTAGGAGAGAAAGACAAACAGATGACTCAGTATAGTTAGTTCAATGATACTATATGCCTGGCATGTAAGCTTTCAATATATGTTGCATAAATACATGGCTTGGGTTGAAGAATGTTGCATATAATTTGAGAAGGACATTTAATATATATCTTTAAGTGACATAACCACAATCAGCACATACAGTCATGAACAACAGGGATGTCACTGACTCAATACACTGTGTTAAAGTAATTGTATCAAACTGACATCTTGTGCCATCTTAAAGGGAGCATTTGGGTTAAAATGTTTATCCACCTCTGCAGTCAGTTGAGCCTGGGCTCGGGTTCTGGGGCCAGGTGATTGGGATGACAGGGCAGCCTTCCTTCTGGGAAGTAAAGAACCTGGGGTCTTCTGCAACTGGTCAGAGATCTCCATCAGCCAAAGAATCCATTTGTTCTCTGAGCTGCTTTCCACTGGGAGTTGATACTAGAAACAGTAGGGTGGCCTGTATTTTGTAATAACATTCTCTGTTTGCTGTTCCTCACCAGGGAGACTCAGGGATTAATTATGGGGGTGGGATAGAGAATGGAAAAGTAGATATTTCTCAAGTCCGTTTTCCAAATCTCCACGATGCTTACCAAGACCCCAATATATTTCACTGATCTACTGACTCGTAACCAATCTGTTTCAGGGCTTGTCGTATGTTCAAGATATAGATAAGATGTGATGCACGAAATAAAATTATTTGGATAGAAATTATTAACTAAATGTACACACGGCCTAAAAAACCAGGAAGTATTTGGTGTATTTTATTCCCTATGACTTTTTACTATTTGAATGAATTACTTATGTTTCCCAAATTTAGAAAGAACATATGAGGTGACAAAAGTTTACTTTCCATCCTCACCGAAACCATCGTTCAAAGAAATATTGGCCTCCGAGGGAAGGAGTTCAGGTTTCTAGGACATTATTCTTTCCCCTGGCTGTCAGAGTTTGACATTTCTCCAGGCAAATGGGGCCAAAGTCCAGCAACCGTTTTAACAGAGAATGCTTCTTTCTGTGACCCTGCTCGTGTCTTGCTGTGATAGCGAGTAGATGGTGTTTGCCTATAACGTTAACCTCACGCTGCTGCGGCACACAGTCGGTAAGAGCTTGGGATTTACCGTCAACACATCCCTGCTCCCATCCTGGCTCTGCTGCTTACCAGCAGTGTGGATCCTCTGCGAGTCATTCTATTTCCTCAACTGCAAAATACCGGGATAAAAATGCTCTCCTATCTTCCTTTCATTTTTTTTCCCTGTAAGCGTTAGATAAGATAACGTAGGTAAGATCCTCATACATAACAAGTGTTCCATGACCTGTAGTTTTGGATTGATCAGGGGAAGATGGTGATGACGACAACATTGGCAGTGTGGTGGTGGAGCTCGGGGTCCGTTACCTACCATAGCAGACAAGCGCATAGTACTTGGCGTAGTCACTGAAACTTGCTGTGTAATATTGGCACCTTTCTTTCCTTAGATGGCAAGTAATGCACTTTTTGCTTGGAGGATAGCTTCCAATGCTAATTCTAGAGGAAAATGAAAATAAAACTAAGCTGAAATTTTGAGATTGTATTTATCAAAATGTACTACTCCATGTAAAATGACTAATTTACATATTGACATCAAACCCACTCTATTTTTCTCTTGCCAATATCATTTAAAGTGAAGGGGAATTACAGTATTTTGATGTAGCCTGATTTTTCAATCATCTTTGCCTGAAGAGGCACAAGCCTTGAGAGAGAAGCCCTTCGGTTCCTCTGGGGTGGGAGAAATATCTAGCACCTTGAATGGGAGTGAGGTAACCACTTCCCATAGCCATTCATCCCTTACATCTTACAGAGTGCTTGGCAATGCATAGTTCTTCATCTTCCCATTTCTCTTATTGTACTCCCATGCAAAACAGGCAAGGAAAATCTGGCAGGCTCACCAAGAAAGGGGTCGCTGTTCTTATCATATATCTGGAAGGGGAAATCAGTCATAAGCAAAGTGGAAATAAAAAAAAAAACATAGTTTTTAAGTGCCTCCTGTGCCTTTCATTCCTTTCTGAAGGAAGGTTAGGGTCAGAGAAGCTCTTCCTGGGAATGCTTGCCCCCCACCACACTCCTACACAAGCCAACCTGTACCTACCACGTCGGACCCACCCTCTCCCCAGCAGAGCCTTCTGCATGGCTCCTGAATGGGGTGATTGGCTTTAATATACAGACTCCCAGACCTGACCCCAAACCCTCAGAATCAGATTCTCATTTGGGGCAGACTAGATGGTATGATGCCAGGGTAGGGTCAGGGTCAGAGTCTGTTTTGGCTGGTAAAATAATCTGCTGCCACAGTGCTCCTTCTGCTGCTGCCCCTGACCTGGCCCAGGGCATGGTAGATGGGAACCAGAGACATTGCTAGCACTACAGAGGGATTCTCTCCAATAGATAAGAATTCACAATCCAGGAGGGAGCAGAGGAATGCAGCAGAGGGAAAATTCCTTATTTCCCTGGTTATAGTTCACATTTTGGTGTAATCTTGCAAATGTTAGGTAGGCAGTTAACAGTAAGGGGGCTAAGTCAGCATGCCTAGGTACAAAATTCTGGCTCTAACAATATCACCTGCCTCCCGAGGTTGTGGGGACTAAATGAAATTACATATGTAAAGTAGATAAAAATGTGCCTGACATATAGCAGACTACCAGCTGATGGTAACTATGACTTTTACTTCTATATCCAGAGAGGGCTGTTGAGGGCACCATTCCAATCACCAAGGGTACAACTGGACCAACTTAAACACTAATTTAGGAACAGAGATGAATTCCTTCCAATAGTAATAGGCTTATGCCAAAGTGAACCATATTAAAAGAAATCACATGATATGGCAATAACCACAATGCCTGGTACACAGTAGGGACTTAATAAGTGGCTGCTAAATGGATGAATGTCCGCAATTACCTCTAAATTTAGTTGAAGTGTTTAGTATCATGTTTATATCAGCATTAGAATTTCTTGACTTTTTTCCTGAAAACATTTTGAGTTAGCTAATATTTCGGTGGTGTATATATTTTTTAAAGATTTATTTATTTGAGAGAGAGAAAGTACGTGTGCATGCATGAGCAGGAGGAGGGGCAGAGAGAGAGGGAGAGGGAGAATCTCAAGCAGACTCCCTGCTAAGCGTGAAGCCCAAGGCAGGGCTCCATCTCACAACCTTGAGATCATGACCTGAGCCAAAACCAAGAATTGGATGCTTAACCAACTGAGCCACCCAGGCACCCCAGGGAAGTGTATATTTTTATACTGATGTGGTGTACAGCATTCTCTCAATGTTTTACCTTGATTCATATATAATTTTTGTTACATTTCAGGCTTTAAAAAATATTCTATATATCCACAGGCCTCTGACAGATTTTCATTCATATATTACCACATAAAAATATTAGAATATATTGACATAAATTACCTATAGATATTTCTTCTTCCAGGGTAGCCTTCAAATTCATTGCTAGAATAAAACCTGAAAATATATCCAGAAGTTATTAAATAAGTATTGATAACTAAATGGTGACAGAATTGTTAGTACTAATACTAATAGAATAAACAATATAGTCCAATGTTCGTCTAATGAAACTATATTAATTGGCACTTAGATAGATAAGTCATTGTTGTTTATAACACTGAATTTTATGTACTTACTCTGACTTTCAAATCATAGGAGAAAGATTAAATTATGCTGAATATTTCTTTTTTTATTATAGGTATATTGATTCATTAGTTATGAGTTACACAAAATAAGGTAGGATATTGATTATTATCACCCTCTTCCTGACAGTTTACTGGTTCCTCTATGCTATATTAATTTTGTCCATGATTCCAAAGACATTTTGAATTTGTTTTACAGAAGCTCTGACAATAGATGAATTTGTTATAAATCCAGAAATGCATCCGCACTATGACACCACACAAAGGGCCATGTTAATTTACCGAGATGCAAAAAAGTCACAAGAGAACATACTTGTTACTTAAGTATCTGGGTCCCAGTTCTAACCTGTCTTAATATAGCTATGAAGTGGGAAATCCAATTTAGTGGCATGATTTTCACTCCTCTGTGAGTTCATCTGAGTATCATGAAGTAACTGTCTTTTTTTTTTTTTCCTCCTTTTTGGAAGAGCATAATGGAGTGTAGAAAGTCGGGTTCGGTTACCCATTTTTAATTGTTAGGACTGTTCAGTGGCCCAGGTGGTTTTATGTCTTCACTGTCATAAACACCTCATTATCCCCAAGTAGAAAGAAAAGGTAAGAGAATGCAAATCACTCCTAGGATTGACTGTGTCTTCTAAACCAGCAGCCTTCCACGTGCCTTGACTAACTTCATGTGACTCCGACCGAGGGGACGGTCACTTGCACTTGTCTTCCTCACATCATCTCAAACTACAAGTGAATAAACTACTCTGTATCTTTTCCAAGTGGCCCCCCGCAGGTTTCCTATTCTGTCAGAGGCTTCACGGTTGCCTTCATCTAACCCTGGCAACCGAGTCCACTTTGCCTTTCTTTCCCCTTTTCCTTCAGGACCATGAAATCAGCAGTCTTGTTCGGACTCTATCTGTCCTTACGGTCATGTACCCTTCCTCTCATTCATTTAACAAATATTTACTGACTTCCAGCACTGCATCAGGCACTATGCCAAGCGCTAAGGACGCAAGAAAAAGGAGGCATAGCTTCTCGGTCCAAGAGTCCGTATTTCATTGGCACTGTTCTAGTTCAGGTCCTCATCATTGCAGGCTTCGATTAAGACCATCGCTGGGCCTTCCTGCCTTTGGGTTTCCCCTACCTCTGTTTCTACTTCACAGCATGTGGTAGGAAGTAATTGCTCAAAAAATGACAGCTGTTACAGATAATGATCTTAAATTCATATAACATTGAATCACTACAAAAAAAAATGTCTGTATCTATGGGCTGCCCTTCATGGACTTCTGAAGCTTGCTCCTTTCTTCAAGTGCTGAAGTGTAAAATTTGTGTTTAGAAGTAGTTGTTATTTTTAAAATTTTATACTTTTAATTTATTATCTACCAGGTATCAGAAGAGACAGGACCACTTACTAAATATTCTTTCCTGAAAGAAATCATGTTAACTAGCTGTTAAAGAATGTGCAATCTTAATGAAACCAGAGCTATCTGCACTAACCTCTAGCGTAAGTAACCAAAAATGCTCTTAACGAAGAGGTGGTACAGTATCATTTGTGTGTCCATCAGTGCTAATTAAAACCTGAATGGTGCATCATGCTTCATGCAATACTTACAGTGAATCCTGTGTTACTCTGAATATATTTATGGCCTCCCACTTGCCACTTGTAATTTGAATAGCATTTTCCTATAAAAAGACAAACATTATGTTGTGTGAAGCTGAGCGTTATTTGAGCAACCTCAAGTGAATGATCTTTGAGGAGATAAATCTTGGAAGGAACATACCACAGTGTCTTTGATATAGTGAATATGTTTATAGCCATCCTTGTCGCTAAATATTTTGTAGTATGAAATGGCATCATAGCTGAAAACTGGTGTTGAAACAAAGAACTGAAAGAAATGAACAGAGGTTATGTTCAAAAGACAAACCAAACTAAAACTAGATTTTTTTTTAAAAAAAAGCAGTGGATAGTTACGATTATAGGAACCAGAACGCCTTGCCTCCCCTGCCTTCCATCACTTACATCTGAAATCCCATTCTTTCAGATAGACAGCTTTTCTAGGGATTCCAACAGGCATTTGCACATTCCAACTGCTGCTTAATTGCTACTACATAGCACTGTGTTTGTAATGTTTAATTCCATTGAACGTCTATGCTTGGAGATAGTGTGGTTTGAAAGAGAGTTAAAAGAATCACAAGTGAGTGTTGATATTTAGCCAAGCCAAACTTCAAAATGTGGTATTTGACCAAAATGTGACTCATGAAGGCTGATAGTTCTTCTGATTTTTGATTTGTCTGATGCCAAGCACCTAATGCCAATGATTCAATGAAGACATTTTAAAGATGAAAATATCATGGCCTGCTAGCCACCGTTTTTAATGTTGGAAAGAAACTTCTAGAACTTCTAGACTTGAGAGAAAAATGTTTTCCAGGACAAGCTAGTAGGAGGTTTACTCCTTGAGCTCAGGGAGCGAAACAGGCCTCGTTGCCTGTCTCTGGCCTCTTCCCAGGGCCCACACTGGCCACTTGCTGGGAACTGTTGAATGACCCAAGGAGTCTCTGACACTCAGCTTTCCCGTGCTCTGGAACAGAGCAAGTTACACCTCTATATCTGGAATGGTATAGATAACTAAAATCCTGCAAATATCCTCACACAATTTTTAGCTAGTAGTTTCTCCATTAAAAAAAAAATAGCCATTAACTGAACATAATAATAAAAAGACCCCATTGATTTCAATTGAAAAAAAAAGACAAAAAAATAGCCTTATCTTATATTTGTTGGCTTTGTTGTCATTGGGTTGTAAAAGAAAGGCAAAGTGGTAAAGTAGCTACTGGAAGAAAGAGCTGCTCTGCATCATGCCCAGTAGAGATTCCCACAAATAATCCCAAACCAGCTGTCTCTGGCCAGAGAAACAAGTTGTCCAACTCCTTCAGAACTGACCAAGGGACAACAACCAAACTACCAGTATCTTTTAGTTGCTATAGGCCTTTTTAGTGATAGCTCCATGTGTGATCTGATAATTGATGCTTTTTGATAAAAATTTATGGTTATGATTACGTGATATTAAAATGTAACTTATTTGGGTATAGTGTCTGTAGTGGTCTGAATAGCATTCTCCAAAATTCATTTGAACTCAGACCTCCGATGGTAAGTATGATGGACTGGGATTGTTTCTATCTCCCCCCACATTCATATTTTGAAACCCTAACCCCCACTAGGATGGCATTAAGAGGTGGGACCTTTGGCAGGTGATTAAGATGAGATGAGGTCACAGGGGTAATGCCTTTATAAGAATCACCAGAGAGCTTGCTTCCCTTGCTCTGTTCTCTACCATGTGAGGATCCAAGAAGTTGGTGGTCTGCAACCCAGAAGAGAGCTCTCACCAGAACCCAACCAGGCTGGCACCCTGATCTAAGACTTTCCAGCCTCAAGAAGTGTGAGAAATCAACTTCTGTTGTCTCTAAGGCACTCAGGCTATGGCACTTTGTTTTAGCAGCCCAAAGGGAGGAAGATAATGACCCTATTTGCAGATATAATCAAGGTAAGAATTGAGATGTGATCATATTGGATCAGGGTGGGCCCTGAATCCAAGCTGGCTGGTGTCCTCAACAGAAGAGAGGATACCACTAGACCCAAGGAACACGGGGAAGAAGACTTCGTGATGGTGGAAGCAGAGATTGGAGAGATGCAACTGCGAGCCAAGGAAGTCCAAGGACTGCCAAAAGCCCCTGGTAGCTGGAAGAGGTGAGAAAGAATCCTTCTCTGGAGGCTTCAGAGGGAGCAGGACCCTGCTGACATCTTGACTTTGGACTTACAGCCTCCAGGATGGTGACAGAGTGAATTTCAGTTGTTTCAAGCCACCGAGTTTGTGGTAGTTTGTTGCAGTGGTCTCAGGAAACTAATATGTCCTAAGTCTTATCACTCTGGCACAGAATGGATGTCTTTCACCAAATGAAAAATGGAATAAAGAGAATCTATCTCCTTACACGATCCCTTTGTTAGTTTCATTAATCATAAGACCAGCCTCGGCGGGATTTGGGGTATTGAGACTAATGCCTCTAAATGAAGTTAAAAGTGAACTGAGTGAAAAAGAGGCCCAGGGAAAAGAAATTCTGGCTTGTAATTTTGTGGATGGAATTTCATTAGCATAGGTCATCATAACAAGCCATTCTTCCATTTTAGAAGGAAGCTTTGCCTACTTAGGCCAATGATAGTATACCTACTTACTAGTAGCCACTTTGCAATGCCTCCCTCTCACTCCTCAGGGTGAAAGACAAAAAACAGCGCTACGTTGTCTTCACTGCTAAAATGGAACCAGGGTCACAAAATATTTTAAGATGCCAGAGTAAAAACATATTCTCCTCATACCTCGGGTTAGTAAGGAACTGTAAAAAAGGTTTTGTTCTAGATGAAGACTTAAAATTTCATTTTCATTGAAAAAAAATAAGAGGGCAGGGTGTTATGTTTTAAGATATCAGAATCAGGCGAACAGGAAGAATATCTCTGCTAAGTGAAGACTGTTATCTTCTCCCTTTTATTGCCCACGGTGAAGACAGCTGCTTTAGATGAACAGGTAACTTGGGTGAGCTAAAGAGAGTGTGAAATATTTCCGCCTTCACTTTCCCAGAGCTGGGTCCATCGTGCATCCTGAGTTAAGTGCTTCTGGCGGCAAGTCACGCCTGGACCCTAGATAAGCACCCATAACTAGGTGGTCCTCAGTTTTAACAAGGCCTTTTCACAGCCCCTTTATCGTGCTTAGATTTTCTGATAAATTACTCACCTCTATGTGCAAAGCCATTTCAAATATTATACTTGGAAGGTAAGATTATTCACCACCTGATAATTTCTTACCATGGCTGGGAAATAACCCTGAGGTCCTACTTAGCAAAGGCTGATGCCTGAAAGGAGTCCGCATTTGGTGAAAAGCACAGACTTCAAGCATTGAGTAGAAAACTCATTTTTCTGGCAACCAAATTCAGCCAGCTTTATTTGTGAAACAAGGAAATAAAGGCTCACTTAAAAGTTAAAAAAAATTACAAACCCAAAACAACCCTCATTTTTTTGAACAAAAGGATTTTGCCAACGGCTAAGGGAGGTGTAGTGTATTGCTTACTTATTTTTAAATTAATTTAAATGTGGCTTTGCACTCTAAGATGTATGCTTTTAGTTAGTGCTTGTTCTCCAAATTTTACTAACTCAATACTAGATCCTTTGATTAAAGGCTTCTTTTTTTTGGTCTGTTCTCTACAGGGTGAGAAGAAATTTGTTGAAGTGAACTCGTCGTTGTTATTTTTCTGATCAAATACCAAAGGAGATGTTAGGTTATTTCCCCCAAATTAAGACACTGAATATCTCGTGCTGGAGGACAGAAAATGATAGGTAAAGCTCTATGTGCCAGTGCCATGCCTGCAGCTAACAAGTGCATTGCTTTACACAAGTCATTCAGTCTCATTCCTCTGATTCACAGGTGGTTTCCAAGTGTTTTTCAGTTTAAATTTCCTTAATAAATTCTAAAGGAACAAGTTCTCTAAAATTGCTCTCTAATTTTATACTGATATGACTTTCTCTAAAACTAGATAAATATTACTTGAACAAATGTCTGAAAGACATACATATTTCTAGGTTATTTCTGGGTAGTTTTATTAAGCCATTGGTTTGATTATAGGTCAAAGGAAGCTATTCAGAATATTATGACATAGGAGTTATGAGCCTATAAAGTTATGGCCTGACTTTCAAAAGACATGTCAAAACTTATAAAATCTAATGAATGACCTCTTCAAAGCAGCTGCCTTGGGAGAATGTGAACTTACTCTTGAAAGCTATCACTGCAAAGATTTTTTGATGATACCTCTTCCGGTATTTAGAATATTTACCGACTATTGGGTAAATTTTAGGAGATCGAGATGAGTACATGAAAAAATAATTTTTCCCAATAGAATTCCAAAGCTATAGACATTAAAATGATGTAGCACAAAATCATATGTTGAAGATAAATAACGCATTGTTCACTAGATTTATTTTGGCATGTTTTTTTAAAAATAATTTTTGATTTCATGTAGGGATCTCATCTTCCCTCAAAGGATATGCATGTGCTTCCACTGAGGGTATTTAAAACAATGTTCTATGGCTTTAGAAGGCAATTAATTAATTAATTGATCCATTCATCCAGCTCATGTTTGCTGAGGTTACAAGGCTGGTGCTATACAGATTGTAAAAATTGATAAGGTACAAATGACTCTAAGATGCTTAAAAATAAGAGATTTCAAAAGATGCCTTTTAAAATATTTTGGTGTATTCTGAATGCTGGTAGCATTTTCAGAATAAAAGTGTGTGGATTCCTAAAATCATGTCTTTGAGAAGACTGTTGGTATCATTGTTTATCTATTTGTAAAATCATATCATTCATGTCATTCTGTAGTAACTCCCGCTATGTCATCATAATGGAGAATACAACCAAAGGAAGTCTTCAAGTATTCTTCTTTGCCTTCATTCTTTACTGGAAATTTTATAATGAGAGTGAACTCATAGATTAACTTCCCCTTTCCTCAAGTTTTCAAATAATGATCTAGGAATTACCTTTTTGGAAGATGAGCTTCGGATTGACCAACATTTCAAAAATTTAGAAAATCCTGTCCTTTCACTGAATACTCCTGATTTTTCTTGCGTTATTTAGTACAGTGGCAAAGAGTGAACTCAAATAGGACTTGGCCATTTTTTTCTCAGTTACACACCTATCTTTGTTACCTTGCTATTTTAGAATGTAACTTACACTTAATGTATATAATTAATAAAGTAATAACTATTCTCAGGTTAATGAATAAAACTGAAATATCTTTAACTGAAAGAGTAAATATATGTAAGCTAATATCGCTAAATCCAGAAACATGTACAAAAAAGAGTTTTTAATATCTGATTTTTACTTTGTCATTTACCTTCTTTCTACCCATCTAAACTTTGAATTTTTATGAGTTATCATCTTACAGTTGACTCTGAATTCTTTATTGTCCTTGTATCACGGGTTAGTGTGTTAAACCAGGTACTAAGAGTTTCCTTTTTCTTTGCATGTGCCACTCAGAGAAACTGTGTGTATGTGTGTGTGTGTGTGTGTGTGTGTTTAAATCCAAATACTAGTTGAATTCAATATGCTTGTAATAAGTGGCAGCATCCACACAACATTCACTTATTCTCTGTCCTATTGTGTATTCTTCATGGGACGTTAGACACAATTGATAATTTTGTAAAACATGATTTTTTTACACTAAAAATTCTCACAAATTACTGTATAAACCTATCCCAAAAATTCTACATATAAGTGATCAAAAACCATAACAAAACACACATTTTCCTATTTGATACCACTTAAAGACTGGAAAAATATATAACTCATTTATTCATTTCAGTCTATATAAAATTTATTAAGAGGTAGGTTTTCTTTAAATGACTAAGAATACCAGTGTATTTGGTTCTTCTGGCTTCAAATGGCTAATAATTATTATTTTAAGCTGATCAGGAATTGTGATCCCTTTTGAAAAATAATCTTTATTTTATTTGCTTAATAAGAATATTAACTATGAATATCAGAAAGTCAATTAAAAATCTAAGGTTGGGACATGAGGAATATGATTTGTTTTCAACAGAATTTTAAATATATAGACATTAAAATTGTCTGGCACAAGTTTGCTGAAAGGATCACTACCTTTGTGTGTGGTATTTTTTTTTTTTTTTTACCTTGTTATTTTTTCTATGAAACAAGTAGTGTCAGTTTGGATACATTTAAAATAGGTCCTTTGATAGCTGAGAATCTGTCAAGTGACATTAAAATATAAGGAAAAGATAGCAAAATCATACTCCACCAGCCCATCCAGTTCTGCTTTCTTCTATATGCTCCTGGGTCTAAAAGAAAGAAAGATCACATCAAGCATACTATTAGGAGAACAGTTTTTTCTAGATATGACCTGGGCATTTGAACCAGTTAGGCTGTCTACTCAAACTGTACTATTGTAATTGAGTAACTTCACACTTGAGTTTAAGGTGACCATATGCACAATCTTATACATCAGCCCTATGGCATACACATGAGTAATCTAAGAACTGGCTCTTACTGCAAACCTTTAAGAATCCTGGTTTAATTTTCCATGAGGCGGTGCCTGGAATTATTACATCTACAGAAGCCTAGCACAACCCCTAAGCACTTGGTGTCATGTAGTTTAAAAAGGCATTTCACAGTGGAGTTTAGGTTAATTTTTTTCTTTTCTTCATCTTATTAAGTAGGTAGGAATCTTAAAATGTGCACTGGATCTTATTTTGGTGCCTATTTTTGCATAAGGCAACCAATCAGTTATTGAACAAAATTTAGTACGGCTGAAAGGATGAATAAGCTTTCCTAGACAAACAATTAGAGAAAGAACATTCTAGGTGAAATGAACAACACAGAGACCAGGCCAGCTTAGTAGACTACAGGCGTGGTTCAATATGGCTGAGGGGAGGGTGACTATTGAAAAGAGTTGAAGATGAGGAAAGATGCAAGGGTATCAGAAAGATCCTGGAGAAACTCGAATGCTACCCTCGGAAGTTTGGACTCCCCCTCTGGGTAAATCCTTTGAAGGATTTCAGAATCACAATTTGGAAAATATAATTGCAAACATGATGCAGAGAATGGATTAGAAGTGAGTAAGATAGAAGGAGGCAGAGAGATCAACTGGAAGGTTATTGTAATGTTTGGGAAAAAAAAGTGATAAAAGCCTACATCTAGGTATTGATATTAAGGGCGGACCAGAGAAGATGTAGCCAGAGATAACTTAAAAGTTCAAATCCTCAGAATAAATTTGAGGGGCAAATGGTAACCAAAACCTCTGGTATAGATGAAAATCACCTAAAGAGTAAGTTGAGAGTTGTGGCAAAGACTGTAAGATTATCAGCAATCTTTTGCTGATGTCTTTTTGCTCGGACTATAGTCAGGCTCCATTTCCCAGGCCTCCTTCCCGAGTAGGATGTGGTCATGTGATAAGTTCTAGCCAATGATGTGTGAGCAGAAGTGACTCATTCCACTTCTAGGCCTGACCTATAAAAAAAACCTCTTGAGCATGATCCTCCATTCCCTTTTCCATCCCCCAGCTGGATGTTGGTGGTCAGGTTTGAATGACTTTGGACTAGCCTTGGAAGTCACTAGATAAGACAGCAGAAATGCCATCAACCTAAGCACCCCATCTCTCACCCCTCACCATTCCCCACTCACCTGGACTCACTAGTAGGTAGTTACATGAATGTGCAAAACATTTCTATTGTCTTAACCCACTGAATTACTGGAAGGGTTTTATTGTTGTTATAGCAGTTAGCCTATCTTGCAAATACTTTAATTTGGAGAATAATAAGATTTCTAGAGAACAGAAAAAGAAGAGCTGGAAACAAAAAGAACAGTCAGTGAAGAAGAAAGAGAACCATGAGTGAGGGTACTGTCATAAAAAGCAAGGTAATAACAAATCTTAGGCACAGCTTTGTTACTCAACACTTTGTTGTTCTTAAATCTGAAAATGTGTTCCATGTACTTATCAAATTATTTTGAAACTGGGGTTGTTTTGAAATCCCAAGGTTAATTAAACCTGGTATTTTAAATTTAATAACAGTTTTGGGCCATTAAACTAAAGCTTATATTCCAAGAAATTCCACATCTCCTTGAATAAGCATCTTATATATTCTGTCAGTTTGGATTAAAGTTGTCCCTGATTTTGATAAATTAGAATTTCAGATTCCAAAGCAATTGCTGTTTTTAAATTCCTTTTTTTTTTTTTGAGAACTAAAAATTGTGTCTAAATGACCGATCTTATAGTTTTAAACTAATAAAATTAAAGCAATAATTCCTCATATCTAGATTCAATAAAAACAGTCAAGATATATTCCTCCAAAGCTGATTTATCACATGAGTGGTTTCTAATTAACTGCCACAATCAAGTTTATTCTTTTCTCCCCTCCCATGCTACTGCATTAAAGCCAAAATCTTTCTGTTTTGTATATCAAAATATAAATAAGATAAAAATAAGCTTCTAGCATATTCCATCAAAATTAGTCAAGCTTCTTAGAGAGTAGTGATTTAAAAAATATTTTTAGCCTGAGTAATGTTGACTATTATAGTCCTGATATATTTCCAAATAGATTCATATGACTCTTTTCTTGCAAAACATAGTGTCCTAATTTCGAGATGGAATTTAGTGATTTACTTTGATTGCTCTGTGTTTTTTTTCTTACTTTATAAAATAGGTTTATTCTATATTTGGTTTAATGAAACATGTCTTCATAATTAGAAGTCTTATGAAATGTATCCATCAAATTTCCTATTTAAAGAAAACATTTTGTATTTCTTAGTCTCTAATATGAGTACTTCTGAACAGGCTCATTTTAAAGCTTTTAGATTGCTGAAGTACTTGTCTAACTCATTAATTAAACAGATTATGTTTGGATTTGAACAATAGAAACAATTAAAACTCAACAATAAATCTGTGCCTAATTTTCAAGTTTTTTTCTCCCTAAAATTAACACAGTATAGGGTACTCTCAAGGTAACAAGAGAGCAGGATAATTTGATCTGATATTTCATGTCATATTCTTGATTATCTACTGTTAATTTTAAAATGGGAATATTTGGCTTTCTTTTGATAATATCCATTTCCTTTGAAATTTTTATTTTTCAATTTTGACACTGAATAGAACATAGCACCATTTGCATTTTCTCTTTTTTTTTTGTTTTTTAAATAAAACACATTTATTTCCATGATAGACCCATCTTATCTTTTCATCCTCCTTATTTTGGGTTTTTTGACTGCTATCCGTAGCATCTCAAAAGGATAGATTTCCATCCTAACTCAAAACCAGATGCCTTATTTTTCCAATGTTACATTGTTTCAGTTAGTCTTTTTCTCTACGCGGTACCGGTGCTGAAGTCATTCAAGAAAACAAGGGTATCTTACTTATTTAATAAAAATAAAGGACTGTGAAGAAAGAGGGTTTTTTTTTGCAAAGCAATCAAGAGTTGAATGTAGTAATTCTGGCCTTATAATACAAAATGTTAGCTACAGGTAAGTCTCCCCTCATGTACTTTCATCTTCAGGCATATACCTCTGTGGTTTTAATATAACCTACCTTTGGACAATCCCATGTCTGCCAGCCTTCCCTAAAATCACATATAGACAGAACTGAAACGTTCTGGATTCTTTTCAGCCACTGCAAACATATTCGTTCATCAGTAACCCACGTGAGCCAACTGAAATAATAATCACTGCAAATAAAGCAAAACAGAGAGTCACAACCATAAACCAGTATCACATCAAATAATTTAAGTTCTGTTTTCTAAAGGATGTATTTTATTATTATGAAATATTTATTCCATAGATAAGGAAGGTAAACTTTCCCTTCCCCTTTAAGAAGGCTTAAATGTACCTGCTGAATTTTATTTATTTATTTATTTATTTATTTATTTATTTATTTATTTATTTTTAAGAGAGAGAGAGAGAGTGCAAGTGAGCCCGGGGCAGGGGAAGAGGTAGAGGGAGAGGAAGGGAGAGAATCTTAAGCAGGCTCCACACCCAGTGCAGAGCTCAATGTGGGGCTCCATATCAAGACCCCGAGATCATGACCTGAGCCAAAATTGAGTCAGATGCATAACTGACTGAGCCACTCAGGCACCCCATACTTGCTGACTTTTAACAAATATCTATAAGAGAACTCATTCATCTAAATGGATTATTTTATGCTTGAGTTTTCTCCTCATTTTGGATTTGTACATCTTAAGAAACATTTTAAGACATGAGGCCAAAGCTATTGGTCAATCTAGAGGGAAAAAGCATTAAACTGGTGATTTTTCACAGGTAAACTCAAGTTTTAAATTTTTAACTAGCTGAGAGACAGCCAAGTGTGCTAAATGCCCATCTTTCTCTCCAGGCAGGTTTGTGTTGGAAGCCGAGTTTTAACGGTGACCATGATTAGGGGTTGAAATTCAGGTTTACTATAATAATCAGAGATGATGTATACTAAGTAACTCAAATGATGCTTGGCACGTAGTTGGTGTCAATGAATGGCAGCAATTATTACTTGGCTCTGAGGATGAAGCTGCAGAGAGAGAACATCGATGTAAATAAACCACAGAATTTTGGACATTGATGTAAAAGCAATCCCAAAACTGGAAGGGTCTCTGGCTCAGATTCTGGTTTTACCTCCTACTAGTTGTCCTATTTAAGGCTACTTACTTAACATATCTGTGCCTCCGTTTCTATATAAAATGGGAATAATAATATTACCAAATTTAAAGCTTGCTACAAAATTTGTTGAGAGTGCTTAAGGTTCTTGAGAATTCTGTCTGCTCCATGGTAAGTGCTGAGCAAAGGTTAGCTCTTACTATTAAACTGTTAGTATTTTACAGATGCCCCAACAAGCTTCTTGACTCCTCCTACAGTACCCTTTCTATCATTCCATTTGCCTCCTCAGGAGAATGACACTTCAAAAGAAAAAAATAAAAGATGTATTTAGTCAAGTTTTCATCCACTAGATTGGGGTTGGGGGAGTAATGGATCATCCAAAAAAATAAAGCCATTTTAAATTATCCACGAGTGGATTCACCTTGGCAGGGCCCAGCAGAGGCCTCTGCTGAGGTTCTTTTCCCTGGTAGCGATCAATCGCTTGGCCCTGGCTGACTCCCCTTTATGGGGCAGCAGGAGAGAAGCCAAGCAGTGGACTGCTGGGTTTGGGAAGTGGTAAGGAGGCCCACCATGCAGGGCGTAGGGGACCTCTTAGCTTTATCTGCTTCAACCAGAATACCACAGAGGACTGATGGAGGGCTGGAGGCTTGCTATTATCAGGGCTAATCAGCCAGTATCTACATAGGGCACCATGCTGGGGAAGTGAGACTGCTTCATGTCCCTGTCTACCTATAGTTAACCCCAAACAGAAATTGGACAACCAGATAACTGTGGATAGACTTCATCCTAGTAAAAAAAAAATGCTAATATTTGGAGAGGGTTGGCTTATCTTCTCTTGTTTGTCATGCATATGTGATCGAGCATGATGTATAAACCCTGGGTTGGAGAGAAAGTAGACCAGGGTTGAGAGAATCCATGCTGAGAACACATAGGAATTTTATTATTTGCCTACTGACCCCAAGTTTACATTCACACACCTGAGGGAATTATCACTCAGACTGATCACTATGATCATCTTTATATGTACAAAAGAGGCTACTATTTTAAAATCGATTTAAGAAATGTATTTGTGATTTTTTAATTTGGTTATGTATTTGGGTTTGCATGCCAATTTTATTTATTTATTTTTGCTTAGAGTATACACATCATAAATTCACTAGAAAGGAAGTGTAAATCCCAATTAAGAAATTTCAGTGTTAGGGGCGCCTGGGTGGCTCAGTCTGTTAAATGTCTGCCTTCGGCTCAGGTCATGATCCCAGGGTCTTGGGATTGAGCCCCATGTGGAGCTCTCTGCTCAGCAGGGAGCCTGCTTCTCCCTCCCCCTCTGCAGCTCCCCCTGCTTGTGTTCTCTCTCCTCTCTCTCTGTGTCAAATAAATAATTAAAATCTTTGAAAAAAAAGAGAAATTTCAGTGTTAAAATTCAGTGAAAGGTAGGAAGCAGCTGAGCTTACTATACCTTGATGCTATCATTGCTGGTACTGGTACTTCTCTGGGACCTACATGCTCAGGAGAAGTGGTATCGATAATAAATAACCGAACAACAGGATTCTTAGCTCCAGCCTGTCAAAAAATTGGAGATATATAAGCTCATAAAATTCTAGTGATCATCAACATATTAAAGACACTTTAGGAATTCAGGCATATTTTTATAAGCTAATGATATTAAGTATATTACTATTGAAAACATTCTAATTATAGCATGACCAGGAATCTCATTTCAATTTTACTTGCAGAGCAATTACAAATATTGTGTCAACCAGAGTGAAAAACACATATTTTAAGTGATTAATGAGGGAGTTTTGATTCATAGGGAAAAAATATTTTGGATATGAAAATGCAGTTCTATAATTGATATTCTCTTTTCTGACTTTCAAAATGGGTATTTCCTATTATTATTATTATGATAAGTATAAGAATCATTTCTCCATGTGCTAGAGGGAGTGTAGAGGGGAGGAGAGTGTAAAGAATAAATAATGAAAGAGACTTTTTGCTTTGTACCCTATAATTTGGTCTAGGACAATCATCACTCAATCTCCTAGCTGGTTACATTACTACTGCTATCATCCCCCCCCCCAAAATTAGGGAAATGTCACCTCCAAATAAAGTGCCCATGGAATTTGCACTTTTCTTGTTTTGTACTTTCTGTGCTATTATACACCCTAAATTTACATGACAGTGTAGTTCACACCCAGACAGCTTCTTAGAGTTCCTGTTATTTTAACACAGAAAAAGAGAGTCTTATAATTGTTAAACAATTTAAGTCCACAAAGTTTAAGTTCACAGCCTTAAATGACTCCATGCTGTTTGGATTTATCTAAAGACCTGTCCAGGCCCTCCTCTGACCTGTTTCCCTATGAGGTTTAGCTGGGACTTTTGGCTTCTTTCAAGTTGTCTCACCTCTCGGTCTGATGTCAGATGTTTCAGCAACTTCGGTCTTCAAGAAAACATGAAAATTTGGGTCCCAACTTCTCAGCCAGTGTCAGTTAGTCCTCAGTTATGGGTTCCTCCTCTCTTCTTGCTCCCTTACACCCTCCCAAAGACCCAAGTTCTTTCACTTGGGCCCCAAGTACCACACCTCTTGCTTCCAAATATCTCCAGCTTTCAGACCTTATACCCAGCCATTGAAGGGTCTCCTCCCTAAACATGCTTGTCCTATCCACTGCCTTTTCTCATATGACTTCTAACATAAATTTTAGACTATCTGCTATTTCTATTTCTCTTACCATAACCACTTGGACTTGCATCGAAAGCCACTTGTGTGTATGCACATCTGTCCATCTTTGTCACATATAGGGACCCACTGGATCTATCCATAACAGTGCTCTCTTTGGAAAGTAAACACTATAGTGAATAAAGAACAAAGAACTATTTTCTAAAATCACTTCCACTCCTTGTGAGAGAGGAGGATTTATGATTTGCTCCATTTTCATATTTTTGTCTAAATCAGATCGGGATATGGTGCTTCTCCACTGTGATCTTGCTGTTCTCCCACTACAGACATGGAAGCCCTCTCTTCAGACATGGGACTGAATGAAAAGTGTGTACACTGAGAATTCTAGAATGGTTATACAAGAAACTTTGGGCTCACTCCATGTCTAATTTCCTCAAGGAAGAAACTAGGCTTACAAACTTAACCTACCTTGTATGTCCAGAAAAGATCATAACTCATGCCTGCTTCTACCTGACAGGAACATCAAGTTCAACATTTGTATTTTCCATTCTAGTTTGCATTTACATGAGAATTCAAGAGGGAATTGCAAAACAGAACTTTACCCTGAATTTGGAGCATGAAATATGAAAAATTAAAATTAAGTTAAGCTTGTTTTTCCTCCATAATCTAGACCATATGTTTTTCAAAGATTCTGCGATGGATTTTGCAAAGACTACTTCATCCAGCACAACCAGATGTCCAAAGCAACAGATGTCCACATAAATAATAGAGCACAGTACAATGTTTGCCTTACAATGCACAAGGATAAGAAGCTCTCCAAACTTGTTGATCCCACCTCTATTCATGGTATTGGTTGCTCATTTTGACACAGGAGAAATGGAAGCATCTGCTAAAAGTACTCAACATACCTTTGGGTAGGGAATATTTATTGTTCTAGGATATTGTTCATCACCATAATAGGAATATGCAATAACTGGTATCTCTGTATCATTAAATTCTGCATATGCCAAAAATTTTCCATTAGGAGACCACCAGAGAGCATATTTTGTAGCAAGCATTTCCTCTGAAAGATAAATACAAGCATATTAATTACAATTATAACTTACTTTTAAGATCATTGTAAATGCTTCAAAATACGTTGTATGGCCATTTATTGACTGAAATAATTTATTTAATGTGGATGTGACATGCCAAAATTTGGTTGTTCAAAAAGACAATCTGAGTTTAAAGAAATAGTTTAACCTTATACCTCATATCAAACATCAACCAGTCTTCTTAGGAATTGATATTAAATCAGAAATGTAATTATTTAAGTAAATTAATTAAACACTTCAACAATAAATAATTTTTCCCTTTGGGGCAGCTTCTGGTTTTTATAGTCACCTAAAGTAGCCCAAACAAGGGGAACTGTAATTATACTATAGAGTGAAATGTTGGAAGTTGATTTTTCTCCTAAGAATATTAAAAAAAACAACAACAGTTCAGTTATATATTTTTTAATAAAGGCAAAGACTACAAGACCTTTTAATGTCCAGGTGAGTCCTGGATCCTACATGACCTAGAAAGAGGACGCAATTCACGAAAGCATCAAAAACTAGGAATATTTCCCTGCAAAATTATGTAGACTGCTGTTTCGTTTTGGAAGAAGGCTTATTTCTCAAGAAAAAAGAAACCTGAGGAAATGTACTAACATAGCATCTAAGGACCATATACCACTTGAAATATAAATTATTACTACCACTTTATAATGCTTATGAAAATAAACTCTCCCAGGCCGATTACTAGATTTTGCTCTTTCAGAACAGGCACACCCTGTTCCTAATCTGATAACAGCTTTCAGAAATGCCACCATTCATCTTAGTAACATACCACTCATCTCCATTTTACTAAATATATGCAATTATTTTCAATTAAAAGCCTAAAACAGCAACAGTAGAAAAAGAATACAGCTTACCTTCATATACCCAGTCTGGGATTCCATTGAATATTTTATTTTCTTTTCCATTATATGTTATTTGAAAAGGTGGGTCTTCTGGTCTTTGTTTCAAATAGACATTGTTTTGATAGACATATGCCTAGACGTGGTGGTAAGTTAGTTAATGAGGAGAATTCCATAAGGAACACTATGAAGTCTGTAAATTTGTATTAACTATTTACCTAATACCTGCAAAATGAGTGGTAATCCAGATGCAAAAAAGACTCACAACTAAAGTATCGTTTTAATAGGTCAAAAAACCAACCAACTCACATTAACATCAATTAGGATTTTTAAAGTCTGTATCAAATAAAGCATAAAGTCTACCATTGTATTTGTTGTTTTATTACCCAAATAAATAATTGTGTATATTAACAGAAAGTCAAATAAATCTTTGAATATTAATAGCTAGCCAGATCTAATCTTTATTTAGAGTCCTTAAATAAGAGCTTGGACAAAATTTCATGTTGTCTGAAGCTAGTCTGGGAAACTTGTGAAAACCATATTTTTCCTCAGCTTTCTGGCACAAAGCATTCTGGCTGAGTATGAGGATAAAGTTTTTGACTGCGATATTTAAAGAAGTCTATCCATGAGCTTGAGATTTTGCGGAATTCTCAGATGAGTTTCAATTTATCAAAACTCTTCCCGTTTTTAGCCACTAAAATAGTCATGAATTTTTTTTTTTCCTTTCAGGCAGGGAAATTTAACAAAGGCCAAAATCAAATGGCTCCTCTTTTATTTAAATGATTAAACACTTCTATAATTTAAACACTTACTAATTTACTCCCAACAGGCGACCAGCATAAATACTGAATTGGACGAGGAAGCTCATTTCTTCTTATAAACTCTCTAGAAGGAAAAAAAAAGAAAGAAAAAATAATAATAAACCTTGCTGTTCAATGAAAAAAACATCTTTGTAAACAGAAAAAAGTAAACAACAACAATGAAGAATCATCCTCAGCTTCTTCAAACCTAACAGAAAGAATGTGGTAACAATGGCACTAGACACATTGAGTAGTAGTTGGGGTTCTTTACTAGTTACTTAAGTCACTTAACTTCTCCACGTCTCAGTTTTCTGACCTTTATAGTGAGGTGAATTAAAGATTTATTAAAGATTTTTAGGCTGTGAAAGTGGGACCATCTCTAGAAATTATCTAATGGAATATTGTTCCATTGTTCCTCGTTTTGTAAAAAGGAACGTGAGGTTAAAGAGATACGACTTTTTAAAATCAATCACATTGCTGGTTCTTGGCAGACACGTAACCAAACCCAAGTCTCTTAGCCCTCAGGACTGTAAGATTTATACACATCAGGCTGAGATGGTCGATGAAGTGGCTTCCAGCTCTCAAATGCTATAATTGTGCTGAAGTTTAATATGTACTCTTCCACATTCTCATTTACAACCCCCATCTCTGTGAATGCATATGCATTTCAAATTTTTGAAAATAAGATGCCATTTGACAATCTCCCCAGGGATCTGACTTGAAATCAGAAAAGGAAAGGAACATCTGATCTCAAGCTAAACTGAAAAACAGATCATACACTGGGCAGTATGCCTTAAGCTTGCAAAGTTCTCCACCCATGGGGAAATTTCAAATATCTTATTGGGCCAAAATCTCACTTTGATGCCTAGAGTCACCCTGCAAATACTCAATTGACTAACTTGCACTGTGGAGCCTTTGTAATTCTACAGCAAGAATGTGTTCAGATTTTTATAAGTGCTAAAGAGTCATAGGATGCCATGCTTAAGTTTTGACTATGATCTTCTTAAAGATTGCATCAATGGTTTTGTTAAGAATGCTTTTGTAGAGACACAAAACCAGACCTGCCTCCAGTGTATAAATTGGGGAGCCTGAAGAAAGACCCTTTGGCCTTCCCCTTCCGAAAACTAACTTCAGCCTGGATCTAACATATGCCTGACATTTCTACTTTTCTCATTCTTTTAAAGTTTGGACACCTGTGAAGCCTTGTAACCCACATTACTTTGATGTGACTTCTTTGGTCATGTAGCCTGAGGCCCAGCAAACCGTGAGGGAACATGGGCAGGTCAGTTTTGACTGGGGAAAGAGTAATGCCCCTGGAAAAGAGAGACTATTGGAGCTGCAATGATAATCTTGCCTGCCAGAGGGCAGTTTATGAGCAGCAGGCTCCGGGAAGGGCCAGAATATATTAAAAGACAAGAGGGCACAGGCAAAGGAATGATCCAGAAACAAACACATTCTTCACCTGGTTACAGTTCTCTGTCAAGCCAGGGTTCATGCTACCTTTGACATTGTAACACTGTCCTAGGTTTCGATATGCTGTGGAATCATCTATGCAAGCATGCAGACAGCGCCAAGCTGAAAATCTCAGCACACAGTCTCTTCATGACTGGCAAGTCACTGCAGCTGCCATTTTCTGTTTTCTAAATAACTAACACTATGAGAGAAAGTGGAGGAGGCTGCTTACAAAGGCTGTCATCTCCTCAGTACTCTTTCCCATGCTTGAAACCAGAAGCCTCTTCACTTGCTCTCTGGTAGATTTTTATAGACTCTTCAGAGGCACATAGAAAACTTGGAATTAGTGGTATGTGGTCTTGCCTTGAATCTCAACATATTTGTCATCACTCACTTCCTAAATTATGCTATATTTACCTGACCAACAACAAAAAAACAATCTGGAAAATTAGATAGTTGTGTAGAAAAGAAAGAAAGAAGGGAAAGAAAGAAAGAAAGGAAGAAAGAAAGAAAGCAAGTAAGCAGTGGTATGACTAAATTCACTGCACAAAAGCTAGATATTTAAAATGATTCTGGTACATAAACTTATACAAGCCATAATTAAAATATTAGTATTGTCATCTTCTTTTGGAATGCTGTTTAATTTGTTGAACCTCAACATAGGACGCGGAGAATTTCAAAATGATTAATAGAAAAATAAGGAAATGTTTAAAGCCTAAGAAATTGCGCTGAAAGAGTAAGGTTTTTATTTCACTAGTTTCAAGTTTTCTTGAGAGTAGGGTTAGTGCCTTGAGTTCATGTGTACCTCTCCCTTATATGCTTTTCACATAGTAGGTGTTCAATAAATACTTTTTGAATTTGGTGTTGATATGGATACAGACAAGAGAAAAACTCAGAGTACATTAGATGAGTTCAGATTCTACTTTATGTAGCAGTTCCTATTTTTTAATTTGACAGTTTAAGATCAGAGTTATTCTTTTCTGAACATTTAAAATAAGTAGATTTTTTTTTAATTTTTGTGCTCTTGCTGGACAAAAGAGGAAATAGACCATAAAATTTTTCAATACCTCTTCAAGCCATATAATTATTTTTCCCTTTTACATAACAGCAATAGGATATGACGTTAAGATGAGTAACTAAACCAATTCATTGTCCATACTTAGATTTTTCTAAAGTCTAAATCTGATCATGTCATTTCCCATTTGAAACCCTTTGGTGACTCCCTATTGTCATCAGAATGACATCTAAACTCTTCTTAATGGCTTCCTCATTATTATTTGGCCCCTGCTTCCTGGCCCTAGCTCCTTCCCAACCTTACACCACCTCTCACTAGTCAGCATGCCCTTCTCCAATTTTAACTCAACTGACCTACTTTGAGTTTCTGGATCACTCCATGCTCTCCCTTCCCGTTGGGACTTTACGTGTTATTCCTTCTGCCAGGAATTCTTTCACTAGGTCATTTGCCTACCGACTCACTCTTTTTTTTTTTTTAATTGCAAATATTTTGAACAGTTAAACATTACAAATAAATAAAGAAAATAATATAAGAGATGACAATTTATCTACAACCTAAATTTAAGAAATATTTACATTTTGCAATTTTAAAAACAATATATTTTAAAATAATTAATGGAGTGTGTGTTCAAGTACAACTAATATTGCATCTCCTTCCCTTCTGCTTCCTTCCAATGAGGTAGCTACTCTCCTGAAAGTAGCATTCCCATGCCTGTGTTTGTACTTTTAGTGCATATGTTTACTTTCACAAATCGTATATTTATAATTTGGTGTTCTAAAGTAGGGAAAATAAAACTGCATTGTGTGTAAAAACACAAAATATTAGTCAAATAAAAAGAGGTAAATATTCCATAACAGGATTTCCTTAAATTTCTTAAGTTTTATGGGTACACATACACTGTAAAGAAGTAAGAAACTAGGATCAGTAACGAGATAATGTAGTCTTAACTTCAAATCAGAATTTGGATTGAGAAACTATAATAGATGTAAGTAGTATGAATAAATAGACACGAAATCATGACATCTTACCCATTATTGAGGTTGTAGATGTGATATGTTGCTGTGTAGGAGTATCTCCAAAGCTGTCAGAAAGAAGGGAGACGGAAACAAATTACAATTCTTAAAAAGCTTATGCTAATAATGTATAATCACAAATCATTCAACTCAAGATTCAGAATTATAAAGGGACAATTTTCACAAGGCACTAGGAAGGATATGTTTCAATTCCAAAAGAGTCTTCATTTAAAGAGTTTTACTGTGGACTTTTGTGCTGTTTGTCTAAGTTCCAGAACTAATCTCAGCAGTGATTCAACCCTCACTCCATAAAAAGCATATCCGAAGACATTTCTTAATATAAAAAGCTTTTCTTTGACACACTCTCTCCTAAGAATTTTCCCTTTGTGCTTTACCTTGATTGAAGTGAAACCACTATGATCTCCGTGGTTGTAAGGATTACCCTACACCTGTGTTCATTACAATGATACCGTCTAAAATTAGGTAAAGAATTTCATTTAACACAGAGTTTTGTTACAAAATGTTTGCCTTGTTCAAATATGATACTTTTTAAAAATAATAGAAATTGAAAAATAAATAGAAACTATGTAGTTTATAATTCCTCCTGAAAAAAAAAAAACACAACTGCTCTTTTTCTCATTAAGTATATTTGTTTGGTGGTTAGTGAATTATACAAGTATTATTTTGGATTTTGTTTCTTAAAAGAGCTTTCAAACTCCTGGCAAAGAAACTCCAACTGGCTGAAACGTGTCTTCCTAAAGATTGCTAGTGACCAGGACCTGGTCCATTGGAAAATAATCAGCAGACAGAACAGCTGGAGAGAGGAAAGATTAACTATTCATTCTGTATATTAAGAGAGTTTTACATGTCACATAGGATATGAAAAATGACAGTTAAAACGTTGTCTATCTAAAAGTAATTACTAGAAGTTTAATTTGATAATAAATTCTTTTGCCTTCTTGCAAAAAAATAATTATCTTCAAGTTGTATAAGTAGAAAAAATAAGATAATTAATTTCCCTCTACAACTTCAGTCAGGAACGGGAAATTAAGTAAGGGTAAATGGTTATGGTTTGGTGGGATACTCCCACTCCAGGCTTTTGAACACATAGATTTAAACCCTGGTCTACCACTGCCTGTATATTATCTTACTTGAACAAGTGAGTAAAATAAGCTACACCTTGATTTTCCCATTTTCAATAATAATAAACTTTCACAAGGTTAAAATGTGTGAGAATTAACTAATGGTTTATGAAGTCAAATAGCTTTAGAAATACAAGTATAGTTCTCCCATTTCCGATAAATATCAGTGTCTCAAAATGCAGCCCCACCCCCAAAGGAAAGTAGTCTCTACTACTGGGTGATAACCAGCCAAGTACACCAAATTCTGAATTATTTGTGTATGTTTCAGTTATGTTTTGGGGGCTCATCAAGAACCCACATTAACTTCTTGAATATTTAGATATAAAGATGTACTCTTGCTTCCTCTTACTTTTATAAGCCAAACTGTGGATTAGTAAGAGATATAGACAGATATACCCAGATTAAATAGTCTATACCTTTGAATAATCACTTTCTAGATATGCAAATTGCCGATCAGGTGATAAGCCATAATTTGAAGCATTCACACTTTTCTGAAATTATAAAGAAGTTGATTAGAATACAGAAAAAAAATACCCAGAGCCATGTAAATGTGTAGTTCTAAAAGGGTATCATATAACTGATATACTCCTACATACATATGCTTTCGATGCAATTTTTAAAAATGTTTACATGGTACTTACTGTATACAAAGAAATTTATTAAACACTATGGGAGGAAGATGTGAGAAATAGGACATACTCTGTGATTTCTAGAAGCGTAACATGTTAAACTTGAAAATAAGTAATGTATTGCAAGTTAGAAAGTTCTATTAAAGAGATATAAATACAGCATTGCAAAAGCATTAAAAAAAGAAGTGTTTAAATCCAAATGAGAGGATCATTGATTGCACAGAGCAGGAGAGTATCATCTGAGCTTGATTTAAAACATTAGCCGGCTTTTGAGGGTGGAGAAAGCAGGAGGATTGAGAGCCCGGGAGATAGAACAGCATGCACCTACATTTCATAGCTCTTGTTTATTGAGTGTGTATTCCGTGTTAGGCGTCGTCCTACCACATTCAAATGTTACATCACTTACCTCTTATGGTAACCCAGAGAGGGATTATTCTTCCTACTCTTTAGAGAGAGAAAATGAGGCACACTATGGCTGGCGTAGTGAGGAACCTTATGTAACTTTCCGTAACTAGGGAGTTGACAGAACCCGGAGCCTCAGTTTGCCTCTTGTAAGGACTGAGTTCTTGACTCTTGTTTCTTGCTACACTTTTTCCACAGAGAAAGAAAGATGCTAGGTGATTGAGAGGAGGCAAGGGCAGTTGTCTAATGTGACTAGAAGAGAGAATTTGAGAATTTAGTGGGAGATGGAGCCAAGAAGGCAGATCGGGTCCAGATCAAGTGCTGGGTGTTTGGACTCTGGTCCTTGATCAGTGAAGAGATGGCAAAGCTTTGAGGAAGAAGATGTTGCTGGATACATACCATGGTGGCATTACTCAAAATGGTATATGATTCTCCTGTTTCAATATTGTAATATACTATATCATTATCTGTAGACTGATGAAGATATTCGTGTCCTTTAAACAAGAAGGAAAATAAACTTGAAATGATCTCCCTTAATATAAAATACATTTATAAGAAAGAGAAACCTCTCTTATTTCACAGAATTACTTTGTTTTTCTTCCTTGTCCAGGACATTGCTTTGACAGATTTAAAATAATAAGTTTGACAATGGAAGGGAGGAAAGGATGCTCTTTTCCACTCTCCACAAAAATGCCAAATTTACTAGTAGCTGCCCTATTATGACCAGTTCAGGGTGCTTGGGAATAAAATTTTCTCTGTATTACAAAGAAGATAAACTAGTTTAAAATGGTATGTTTGATTTGCAATTAAAAAAATGCATTACCTTTAGGCTGTGTTTGATTTAGTTTAAAACCCATTTGATGTGCATTTTATTTTTTAAAGAGAAAAATTAAAATATTCAGATTTGTTTAGTTGTACTTAGATATAAACTATAATGTCATAAACAACTTAGTTGACCTTACTATTTGTTTGATTAGACTTATTTGACAGCATCCTATTTTGGAAACTTATATGAAAATATCAATTTTGTGGCCCAGGAAAGATATTTTATCAGGGTGGGATTTGTCCATTTCTCAGATTATCCAGATTGACAATGGAATTTCTCTTTTGGTAGAATTCTTATGACCTCTCTTAAATAGGTGCATATCTCCCATTCTGAAGAACCATACAACGCGCTCAGATTATTCTAGCAATGTACTCTCAACTTTTACTTTCTTGCTGAAACTCCAACGGGCATCATGACTATTGGGTAAATGCAGTCCAAATGGTTCTGTCAAAGGTGCTTTGGTGGCCATTTGACTTGTCTAAATAATTCTCTTTCTTTCCATTTCAATGGATATGGCTTCGGTTACCATAGGGATGTGCTGGCACTGAAAATAAAAACAGCATATATTTTTTTTAAAACCCCAAAAGGTAAAGAAATAGTTCACTTACCTGAAATCCAGTTCGGGAAAAATGTTTTATAGGTAAATGTCCCATTTAAAATATCCTTCAGTGTGAGTGTTTTTGTTGTACTTCCTTCAGAGTCATGAACTTTGGGAGAAATGGAAACATTATTTCAAAAAAGATGATTAATAACTTAAATAAATCCTGAGCCTGTCTCTCATCTGTTCTGTCTCATGTCATGAAAAAGACCTGTCCAGGCACCTGGGTGTCAGTGGGTTGAGCTACCGACCCTTGGTTTCAGCTCAGGTCATGTTCTCAGGGTTGTGAGATTGAGCCCCAGGTGGGACTCTACACTGAGTGTGAAGCCTGAGTAAGATTCTGTCTGTCCCTCTCTCTCTGCCCCTCCCCCTTGCATGTGCGTGCTCTCTCTCTCTCTTTCTCAAAACAACAAAGAAAAGAAAAGACTTGCCATTGCTAAACACTTGTTTAACGTCTGTCTTAAGATCTGCGTTATCTCCTTAATAGACAGGCTAATGAAGGTCTAGACAGGCAGTTTGCTTGCCTGGAAGAGCTATGATGGTGTCCAGGAGCAGCCAGGATGCTATTCAGGCAATGCAGAGTTGTCAGAGAGATGAGATGGTGATCCGACAACTCTAGACCTTGCAAAGCTGGCATTGCAGACTAGCCTAAAAACCTAGTCTTTTAAGCAGTTCATTGCATTTTGTCATAGATGCTTGGCTTGGATTACTACTGGTTTATCAACGACATATTTTAGCATCCCCTTTGGTCAGAAGCGATCAGCCCAAATCTTTACCTTCAGACATCTCAAGAGAGGAGACATTAATGAACCTAGATAATTTCTTATCCTGACTGGGATTTTTATAAAGAGAAAGTGGGCCAGAGAAACCCCCCACAAAAGCTCTATCATCTATGCAGATGATCTTAAAAATTCCAGAAGTAGAGGTTTGCCATATAAAGCCTCACCTAAGGTAGCTCACAAACCACAAGCAAATTTCACCTATATTTGAATCTTCCAAAACAATTGTGTTTTTCAAACATGACTCTATTCTCAGAACACATTCATTATAGAGCTCCTAAACAGTCAGATACGCCAGATGGATAGTATGGCAACCAACTTCCAATCCTCCTTCACATCCATATTGCCATTCTCCATCCCTCCCACCCTACCCCTTCTCCAGGCCATCACTTACAGAACCAAAACTTAAAAAAATGTCCTATACCTTGAATAGCATTTGTGAATCTGGTATTTGCCCATGCAAAAATAAAACTGTTGAAGATGAGAGCTATAACTTTATCCTCCCGCTAAACTCTCTCATAGCTTTCCATAACTCTTGGGACAAAGACCAAAAATGTTCGTCCGACCTGTAGGCCCTAGCTGGTCTGGGATGGCCCTCCTGGCTCTTCTTGCCTCTCTCTCATTACTTTTTAGATTCCAAACATATAGGGTTTTCTGTTATTCAGATGCTCATTTCTTTCTCCAGGGCCTCTCCTCCTTTCTCCATCTTCTCCCCTCTCATTCCTTCTATTCACGCTCTAATGCTTAAAATAAAAGACGCTCCTCTGGGAAACCCCTTCTGACTCCCTGGTTTAGATCTGGTTCCTTTATTATATACATTACCACAGACCATATTCTTTTTCTAAAAAGCATCTGTCTTGATTTGTAATCTTGTATGTATTTGAGTGATTATTTTATTAATATTTCTCCATCTTCCACTGTATTCTCAAAATAGTCACCGTAAGGCCAGGGACTGTGTCTAGTTTTGCTCACCATCACACCCCTACTATCTAGAACATAATAGGCATTTAATTACTGCTTGTTGAATGAACAAATACATGAAATGAAGAATGGATGGCTGGATGAATGAGGGTGGTTGGGTGAGAGTTATGCCCTCTTTTTTACAGGATCATTCTGCTGCTAATATCCTGCAGGGCTTTAGTAAGTCAATCCTGTCATCACAGCTTGTTCACCTGTACTATTATAAAGGACTGGACTAGAAAATGGTGATAATACTTCCAGTCCTACCACACTGGCTTTTGAAATTTGAGACTCAACATGCTCTATAAGCTTGTAATTACATAAATGTACAGCCGTGTGATAAGAGTTAATTGACCAACCGGATAATAGCATCTTCAGCTATTTTAACTGATTCATACTGAAGTAATATATGCTCCATATGCTTGATTAAGACCCTGAATTATTTTCTTCATTTACTAAAAATTATTCTGGTGGCTGTAAGAATGCAGTTGGCTGGTGAACCCTTTTGCAACTATAGACTAAATAATAACACTAAGTTATTCTGTTTTTTAAGATATTCATCTTCTTACATTTTCTTTGAATTCTAAGTAAGGTTGTACATGCCATACAGTTATTCATAATAAAAGTTCTTCTATTTAATTAAATGATCTTGTGTAAAATATTTACCACTGATTTTATAATTGCTATTCAATGAATAAAAGACCATTTTACTACAATAACATTAGAATACTTGTGAAATATTTTAATTAAATTTTACTTAACTCTTCTAAAAGTAAATTGCAATCTGTTTCTAATATAGTTAAGGGGAAATTCTAACACCATTTGCAGTGGAAATTACTTTCCTTTGAGATACATTTATGTCTACACAATCCTGAACATAGAGATGAAAAAAAATTTCGATTTAGTGAATACCAAAAAAAACCTTCTTAGATAATTTCTTTTTAGAAAACTTTTTTTATATTAATTCAATAAATAAATATAACCTTGGTGGTTTATTTATTTGCTTTTATTTATTTACTTTTTTGTCTAGCATAAGTTATGCTTTGATTATGGCTAATGAGTTACATAATAGATTTTCCTCTTTAAATATCCTTGCATATAATTTTCCTTACTTGCAATTATGCTTAATTGAGAAATTCATAGTAGTTAATCTTCATTTCTATAGGAGGTTAAATTAAGTGAACTAATTGAAATGAAACATCAAGCTCTATGCTTGGCACATGGTAATCAGTGAATAAATGTTAGCTTTTGCTATTATCATAACTTATCAGTATTCTTTCCATATTTTTTCCTTTTTAAAAAATCTGAATATAGTTGACATACAATGTTACATTAGTTTCAGGTGTACAGCATAGTGATTCAACAAGTGTATACATTCATTATGCTATGTTCACCGCAAGCCTAGTTACCATCTGTCCCCATACATCGCTATTACAATATCACTACGTTCCTTATGCTGTGCCTTTTACTCCTGTGACTTATTCATTCTATAACTGGAAGCTTGTATCTCATACTCTCTTTCAGCCATTTTGCCCAACCTCCTACCAAATAAATATTCTTGATCAATGTTTCCCAAACTAATTTGACCACTGGAATTGTTTTTGTTTTTAAATATCTACTCAAATCACAGCAAGGCGGGGGGCACCTGGGTGGCTCAGTCGGTTAAGCGCCTGCCTTCAGCTCAGGTCATGATCCCAGGGTCCTGGGATCAAGTCCCGCATCAGGCTCCCTGCTTGGTGGGGAGCCTGCTTCTCCCTCTCCCTCTGCCTGCTGCTCCCCCTGTGTGTGGGTGCTCTCTCTGTCAAATAAATAAATAAAAACTTTTAAAAAAAAAATAAAATAATATCACAGTAAGGGAAATGCTGTTTCAGATTAGACTATTAGTATATATAATTAATGTTCACTTTCATTTTACTATCATGAGATTCATCAGTTGTGCTTGAACATTTTGGTCATCTTAGAGCTCCATAACTGATCATAAATAGACTTAGTACTAATATCACATATATGGATAAATGAAATTTATAAAAAACAAGAGTTTCAAATTATTTTTAGAATACCTACTCATTTTCTTTTTCATATCATTAAAAATCATGCTGATTCTTGTCAGATTTCTCAAAAAGATTTTAGGGATTTGTTATTTACTCTGTTAGAACTTCTAATTCAGATTATCCAGGAAAGTTACATTAAAGTGTATTTACTATTACTTCCTAGTTAGTCATTTATTTTAAATGGGTGCATAGTAGCTATAAATGCCAATAATCTATGTATAGAACTGAGCATATGTCCTATTATGACTCAAAATATCTGAAAAGCAATTTTAAACATGTATTTATTATACTACTAATTACTGTAATGATAATAAGCCCCACCAGCACCCAAGAAGAGATGAGTGGATGTACAGAAAACATATCCAGAGGAGCCAGCTATATTGATGTGGAAATAAGTAAGGTTCATGGCATAGATTTAGGGTAGGCAATTGCTCTTAACCTCACATGTGGTATAGCAAGGCTCGGAGGGTGTGATTACACCAGAGCCAGGCTGGGATCAGAGTAATACCAAATCAAATTGGACAAATTTAAATTAGGCATTCTTTTCTTTCTCCTGAAAATGACCGAATGTTCATCAACGCAATGGAGTAATGCATCTGTTCTGAGAAACTACATTAGGTCACATATTATGAGTTATGAAACATGAAGTTTACTCAGAAATTCCAATCCAAGCTTTGGTTCTTTGACATCTAGAAAGACCATAAACATAATTATGTTTCACTACACTATCAGTGTTAACCCCTATATCAGCTACCAGCAGAAATGACCTTCCACTGGGCTCTATGAAAATGCCATTGGCTTATTGCTATCTAATACTTACCTGAATTTATTTTTTTAAAAGATTTTATTTATTTATTTGAGAGAGAGAGAATGAGAGAGAGAGCATGAGGGGGGGAGGGTCAGAGGGAGAAGCAGACTCCCTGCCAAGCAGGGAGCCCGATGCGGGACTCGATCCCTGGACTCCAGGATCATGACCTGAGCCTAAGGCAGTCACTTAACCAACTGAGCCACCCAGGCGCCCACCTGAACTTATTGTACATGAACCATTTTCATCTCTATATTTATGCAAGTTGTATAAGGCATAGGTCTTTACCAATGACAGTAGTCTGTATTTGGTTTTTCTCACTGTTGTATGCCCAGTAGACAGGACAGTACTTGGCATAGAGTGGGAGCATGATAAATATTTGTTGAATGAAGAAATAAATCAACTGAACAGATTTTATGTTAACTTACTTTCATTAATTCTCCCACAAAAATATGCCTGCTCTTACTCTTTACCTTCCTGTCCATGTTGTGAATTTCATATATACACTCTTCTA